TATTTATGAATAAAAAATGTGTCATTTGTAAAATTGTCTTTTACCTTAAAAAAATTAAATATATATATATATTTGTGTGTGTACACTGACACATTTTCAAGGTGTAAGGAAATATGACATAACTACATTTCTAAGAACTGGACATGCTAATTTGTCATTGACCCATGATCTGTTTGTTGCATTAGCTAAGAATATCACAAAACCACTACATATTGTTCTCTTTAGACTTCAATACATATCCGTTTGGTGATTAATTCTATTGTATCAGCTTCTAATCTTTATGACTAAAAACACTGAAAATGTAAAAGGAGAGGTGTGTTGAAAGATTAGATGTGATGTGATTAGTCATTAGGTGTACCCTATACCCCAAACGGAAATAGTTTTGGAGTTTATCAAGCATGTCCTAATGTAATGATCAAGAAACCATTTGGGGCAAACTCTTCAATTCCTAAATGTTATAAGTTAAGCATTAACATCAATCCCAGATCAGATATGAACCTGGACATCTGTCAGCACTGTACCGAGACCCTGGAGTGTCTCAGCACAATGAGGGCAGGAATGAACTGTGCTGTCAGAGGCTGTTTGATAGTGTGCCAGCATCGGGCCTGTACTCAAACCTACCCTGGGCCACATTCCTGATGTATTACCCCGAGTAAACACTGTCTGCGTGGGGGCCCTGGGAAACTTGCGCACGAAATGTAAATATTTAGATAATGTCAGCATCCATTCAAAATGTTCCAGACCATCAGAAACCAGGTTACAGAAATACATCCATTTTGAATTATCCGATCTTTCTAAGGATAGCTAGAACTGAATTTTAAACGTACTATGTAAAGTTTGGCGGTTAAAAACAAAACTGCATGCATTTTACGGAAGAACATTGTTTTAGTTGTGCTTCGGTTCTGCATGTCTGCGGATGATTATGGTTATCCTACTGCTCATAAAACAATCGCTACTAGGCTTAAAAGATATAAGATGTTAGATATAAGACGATATTAGATGGAAAGGATCTCAATCTGATTAGCTTAAGACATTACTGTCATTTTTAATAGACATGGTTCTTTGAAAATAAATTCCAGCACAGCACTACAACAGCCATAATGAAATGACCCTTCACAATAGATAATGCTTTACAATGAAATCTGTTAGAGAGCTACATATGGCAAGTTATCTGTTCAATAAAATACTTTACTGACCTGTTGAGTAATAAAAAAAAACGCCATTTCCACTTCGCTTTTACAACATTTCAAATCCCTCAGTTCTCGCCATCTCCGAAAAGTCAATGTTGATTCTTGTTTTATTACGAGTTCAGTCACACTCTCTTTTTGCCAGCAGACTCTCTTCTGTTCTGCGTTTTTCCATGTTATTCTTTCTCGCTCGTTGTAACAACTAACCTATGCCACTCCCACATGTGTCAAAGTAGCCAGATAAACTTTTCTCAATTTACGGATATGACGAGCCGGGCAAGTGATGTATGTACACAATTTCTGGTCAAAACCATCCTGGGGTTTCCCAAAAGCATCGTTGGCCAACTATGATCGTAATTTCCATTGAACTCTATTGGTAACGACGGGACTTGCGACCATAGTTGGCTTTGGGAAACGCACCCCAGCTTGGTCTAAAATATAAACACTTGTAATAGGCTTTCCATAGTGAAACAGGGTAAGACAAAAACATGTTTTGGAAGGATTGATGATGTATTGACTCTTTGTTTAAATTTACTTCATTTTAACCAAAATAGTTACATAGTGTACCTTTTAAAATCTGACATTTTTTGAAATGGTTGAACTTCAGAATTTTTCTCATTATATAACCAAATAACTTATTATCAAGTAAGCGAGATTGTATTAACTGAGAATGTTTGCTCAACTTTATTGGCACACTAGAGGGGATATTTTTATATGGATTACATGTGTATTGAACCCTGCCATGGGTCATTTATTTCTTTATAAAGCCTTTTTTATTAATTGCACTCTTTCTGATAGCTTGACAGCAAGTTGTTGCCCAGTACCTATCTTGCTCTTGGCTCCGTTTAATTGCTCTTGAAAAAGACACGGGCGGGCAGCAGTTAGGAATATGAGGAAGGAATAACTGCTGGCTGTGTTACGACAAGCCAGGTGTTTCAGTTTCTTATCGGAGGACTTGTGGTTTGCCACCTGTTTCTACATTACTCAACTGTTCGCAGCAGGTGCATTCTTTGCTCAAGTTGGCCTGACATTCAGGGATTTGTCTGTTGACAACATGTTAGGGTTATTGATGGGTCACGATGGTCAATTAATTAACTAGTCCTCCAACAACCGGCTTGTCTGGGGGTTTTCTTTGGCCTTTTGATGGACAAGGGCCCCCTAATAGATCCTTTTTGCGTAACCCCTTCTTAAAAAAAATTATAATATATATATATATATATATATATATATATGTGTGATATTACATATAGACGACATCTTGTTTCCAATAATTGGCTTTTATATTCATGTAGCTCAAACAGTAGAGCTTGGCACTAGCAACGTCAAGGGTTTGATTCCCAGGGAATGCATGAACTGATAGTGTACTGAAGTGTAAACCTGCTGTCTGCCAATGCATAAATATAATGAAATGTAGATGTTGCATTGTCACTAACACTCTGTCCAGCAGTCTTGAATACATTTTAATTCACGTCCAATTAAATGTGGTGACTACCCCGAGGAAGGTTTGTTCGCTGCAAGTTGCTTATTTCGCGTCAACATCTCTACAAATTAAACGCATTTGGATTATTGTAGCATACAGAAATTGAAATGTAATTGGTGCAATTTCTTAGCACACTAAGAGAAATCAGAAGCCCCTTGTGAAAATTGGAATTTTGAAATGGCGAAAAGTAATTTTAACAAACATTCCAACAAACTCATCACTTTCATAAATGTTTCTGAAACCGATAAACTGGATCAAATACTGTTTGACCACCTTTGAGGTTTCGAACAAGCATCATACAAAAGTAATTTGTATAACCACAATAAATTTTTTCAACCATGATCTTAGTCAGATTTTAGATATGTATCGCACACCCAAGTTTTAGATAATTAGATCATTTTGATGTAAGTTGGAGTGTTAACAGCAGCAGGCAGGTTTGAAGGTGTGTAGATAACTGGCAGTGATCCAACCCACCTATCCTTACAGCCACACCTGATGGAATGCATTAGCTAGTTCAGTGTACAAGCTTACTGCAGTAATATCCTTGAGCGTGTGAACAAAGGAGTGCGACTCGAGACTAATAGTTAGGATGGTCAACTGTTAAGGAGAGTTCAGTGGAGTTTTCTCACACAAGACGTCTTTGGTGGAAAGGAGTATCTGTGAGTTGAATTTGTGTTGGCTGTATTTTTCAGCTTTTTAATGGTTTTCAGTTAATTTTCTTGTTCTGATTGCACTGTAAAAAGGATGCTAAGTTCTTCAAAGTTAAAATTAATCTAAAAAGATAATGTTTGAACTTTGTCAACCGGGCGATAACTTTAAACAAAGGCATTTGCTGTATGCACATTGTAGATAGTAAATTTGAAGGGAATGTGTTCATGAAGTTAATAGGATAGATAAACATTCTCCCAGTTTTGTAGTTCTGGGAATCATGCTTGACATGCTCCATACCCTGCTCAGTACTTAAAATGTAAGCACATCGTGTCACTGACACGACCATGGCAGGACTCTGAGGTCAGAACCTTTGGAAACATTTGTTGGGAGACCTATCTGTGGACTTTTAACTATGTCAGATTCCACGAATTCACTTCTGGGCACTCTGGTCGTGGAATAAACTGTTTATCTGAAACAGTCAAGGAACTTGAAGTTCGAGCGTCAGCAGGGGTGTGAGGGGAGGCGGCTTCTGTAGCCTATTTCTGTTTTTGCCAAGGTTGGGGGCGTATTAGAGAGGGGTCTGGTTTATTGTATGATTCAGACCGTTTCATAGCTATGTGAAGTTTTGTGTGAGTGATTCAAGAGTTCTTGTAATGAGTCTTCTCTTAAATTGTGTTGTCTGAAAGAGGGGTTTTCTAGGTTTTGAAACTCACAAAACCTGTCAAAAACTGTTCTAATAAAAATGATATTTTTCTTAAAGAAAATAAAGCCTATTTTATGACCTTTTTTGTTTGCATCCACACAATTCTCTTTACTGTGATGCAAAAACAAACAAAATCCAAACAGTGAACCCAAACCTGCAGTCATTAAATAACAAAACAATGTATTAAACTTATTTCATCACATACATTAACACGTTAACTTGTTGACAGCCCAGGAAAATATGATTAAGTATTTCAATTAATTTCAATTAAGTAATTAATTATGTCAATGTAGTATGTTTAACTGCTATGTAATCCCATATAAAATACAGAAATGAGAAACTCACAAGTAAAACATCCTGTATTACAGTAATGAGAATTTTAATGTAAATGTCATAATAAAAATACATATAAATGGCCTTAAAAAGGTTTCAGGGTAAAATCTGTCACTGACCTGTTTTCATTAGATTTGCATATATGGGAAGAATATATCTTTTAAATAATTTCAGAGACTTTTGTCAGTCCTTTAAGCATCAAAATTTCACAGACTACATTGAGTGTTATGGCATTTTGGGGTGGCATAAATGTAGCTTATGCCAGTCATTTAAAACTATGCACATCCCTACATCCTGTTTGGATTGAACCACTACCCCATGCTATTTCTACCAACTGATCTGGAACCAGCCTCACTCCCTTAAACTATTTTATATCTGTCAGAATTTCTGTCTAGTAGCTTACCTAACTACACAGCTGCAGTATGGTCCCCAATGGCTGTGAGGAGGTAAAAAAAACAAAAAAACACAAGGGCATTTCTTTTTTGGTTCTGTCTCAATCAGGAAATGAACATACCTCACATCCCCTATCTTTCACATGAAATATATTTCTTTCTACAACCCCCCAAAAAAAGCCTTTGAAAAAAAGTGTCTGTCTTTGGACCCCACCCCCATTGTTCTAACTCGCCAGAGTGCCTTCCTGTTCTAGAGTGGCTTGGCATTCGGGACCTCGCGGACCGGCTGTGTGTTTTGGAGCAACTTGAGGAGCTTCTTCAGAGCAGTGACCCTAGTGAATGTCAGCACGATGAGCAGCCAGTAGTGACACACGACAGCAGCCGCACAGGTAGGTGACCTGGTCGAACATACAGTAGAGTAATGGAGACATAAAAAAGTTTACACAGTGACTGGAGAACACCAGAGGAGCCTAGATGGGTGGGGTGGACATCAGTGGGACAAAATAAACCACTAGAAGTTATGGGTTAGTTCATTTCGGCTCCGTCCTACTCTGTGATTCAAAATGTACAAAAATGTAGAACCTGTTTGGATACAGTTTTTATCAAGTAAAAAGTCCTGTGCTGTATTTTATGCTTAAAATTATTAATAAAAGCAGTTTTTGCAGTAAAGGTGTTTAAAGTACAAGATCCTAAGGTATCCCCGACAAAGTTTCTCTAACTGGACGAAGGTTGTGTAAACACAAGTAAGATAAAACTGCTGACAAATATCTTTTTGGGACAATTTTCAGCTTTTCAAATATATGAAGTGCCACTTATTCATCGACAGAAATCAGCCATCATTTCATTCATCTTAACCGTGAGTTTTTTTGTGACCTCGCCATTTCATTTTCTCATCCTGCTTTTGTTTGTGGCCATCTCTTTCATTGACTCTAAGGAGGTCTCAGTGAGCGAAAGATTGGAGAATGACAGGAAGTGGAAGTTAAAGTATGAGGGTGAGGGGGGGGGGGGGGTCATTATGAAATGTATTTTTCTTCTTTCACTCTATCTCCCACTTTCTCTGGCTTTCCAAATTGGAAAGCAGTTGTACACTGATTCCTCTGTTTCTGACTCACTTTACATTTATTTATTTATTCACCACAGATGTTTCGGAAAAAAGCCTCATCCTCCTTGAGAATGCGGGGAATATCAGAAAGCAATAGACGTAATAAGTTCCCCTTCATTACTTTTTTAGATGGTGCATTAACCACTAAACTACAAACTCTGTTCAATGCCAGTAGTGGCAACCATTCCGGATAAACACCATTAAGAGAAACAAAGTATGTAAATTATAGTAACTTTTCATTTCGCAGTAGTAATGTAGTTTTAGAGGTGTACTACATATTACACTCCACATTGGCTCTATTATTATGGAATGGTTTCCACATAATGGCTTTGTATGCGTTAACAGCTCACTTGTTGTTTTAAATTGCTCTGTGTGATTTCTAAGTATCTACTATCTACAGCTCAAGCCGACAGTAAAGAGATTGGGGTTTAAGCTTTGAAGATGTGTAAGCTTTGGATAATCAGATGACTCAACTGCAATGCATGTTAAAGGAATGGAGCTGTTGTACAGTAATGTGGTATATACTGTATATGGCATTGGTAACATGATTTGCATCATGGGTGGACTTCAACACCTTGACCCTGGGCTCTTCCTGATCTTTATAATGCAGAACAATACAATACAATTTTTATTAATCCTCAATTAACAAGTTAATAGTGATTAGTAGTGGTTGAAGATCATCAGAGAGTTGCCATTGACACATTTAAAGTGGAAACTGGTGTCATAATTTAGCAATAATAGCCTTAAAGACTATGGTGCCCAGTTGTCAACGTGTAAAGAGTTTGGGACAGTTGGGGTCTGAGATTTCAGGCAGTTTTCTTAGAACATGCAGAACATTTGTCAATCTCCTTCAGTCTGTTTACTTTCATTTCAGATTCTTAAAATTACTTCTTTGTAACTACTTCATTATGGTATAGCTTGTGATAATAGGTAGTGGCTGTGTTTATTCATCATACATTGGTGTTTTTTACACAGGGAGTGTGGACCGTGCCCGAAGCTCCTCCTTCCATGAGGTGGGTAGGTCACGGGAGCTGGAAATGAGGGCGGCAGCCTCAGTTTCCGAGGATACATCAGGCAGCAGCGGTAGTGGCCATACAGTTCTGCAGCGGCTCTTGCAGGAGCAAATGCGCTATGGCGACGGCCGAAATTACCTTTCCCTGCAACAACAGCAACAACAGCAGCAGCAGCAAGGTCCAGTGAGTGGATACCCGGGCCCTGGCAGCCCAGGGGACGAGCTCTCGATGGTCCCTCACATTGCGAGGCAGGAGCCTCAGGGCCAGGAGCTGCAGACAGACAGTGGCATGGAGAAGCTCAGCACACGCACTGCAGGAGGAGGTGGCGGAGGCAGTGGAGGCAGTGGAAGCTGCTTGAGCGGACAAGGGCAGAATCCCGAAGACCTACCCACCTATGACCAAGCCAAGGTGCAGTCACAGTACTATCGCGGTCATCAGCCTCAACAACAGATGCCCCCGTCAGTAGGTGCAGCATTTTATGTGACTGGCCTCAGCAACACTAAAGTGCGACCCCCAGAGGGCAGGCCCACGGTACAGAGGGTGAATGGAAGCAAAGTTCACCAAGATGACGGGCTCAAGGATCTAAAGCAAGGCCATGTACGTTCACTCAGTGAAAGACTAATGCAGCTCTCTTTGGCCACCAGCGGGGTCAAGGCCCATGCGCCTGTTACCAGTTCACCACTTTCCCCCCAGTTGCCTCCACCTGGACTTCCAGGAGACTATTATAAACCCTCTGGGCCCCAACACAGGGGTCCACCACCAGACTATCCATTTAAGGCAATGCCCTCTCCACCCAAACAGCAGCAGCACCAGCAGCACCATCAGCACCAGGAGCCTGGACACTTCTACCCAGACCACCGTGGCACAAGCCAGCCAGCCAGAGCTGACATTCCTCACGTCCGGTACCAGCCACCACCAGAGTATGGCTCTTTCCGGTGAGCTAAAAGAGTGCTTACAAAAGCTAAAGCTATAGAGTTCAAAGCTAAAGTGTGGGCTGAATTATAGGACATTTGTGGGAACTGGAACAATACACCTCAAAACACAAATTCCCTCACATTCCCTGACTTATCAGTTGTTGAAAAATTCCAAAAGATGAATCTTAAAACAGCCCTTCCCTTCGATGCTGGGACATGTTGTCAGGAAACCAGTTATGGGAAAAGCCAGTTTTGCCTGTTTCCCTGAATTCATTTACCTCAGAGCCAGTGTGTAACATATAGCAAAAGAATGCATATCTAATTCTAATAATCATCTACATGTCACAACATGACAGTTTCTCTATTATGTTGCAGAGAACCAGGAATGTTGACCTGTGAAAAATATTTTTTTGAACGGTTGGAATGCATTACATAGTTTCTACTTTGGACAAGTCATTGTTTTCCAACGGTGATTTAATCTGTTAAAAGAAGCCGTTGGTGATGCACGTTTATATTCAGCCTAAAGCAGTGTTCTTCAACCCTGCTCCTGAAGGACCCCCCAACACTGCACATTTTCTTTGACCCATTTTCACATTAACCCATGTGATAATGAGCTGATGAGATGATTTAGGTGTGTTTGAATAGGGAGACAAAGAAAATGTGCAGTGTTGGGGGTCCTTCAGGAGCAGGGTTGAAGAACACTGGCCTAAAGTATTTGTAGGTCACTGAAAGTTCTCAATTTTTTTTTATGTTTACACTTTTGTAATCAGTCAAAATATGAATATTATTTATTTTTCTGCCCTCATTAGGTCAAGTAAGGAGAGTTCAAGTCACTCTCAAAGGTCTGTCCATCATCATAGCCCTTCATCTTCTGTTACGTCAGGGGGCTCTCTCTCCCGTGCTCAGTCTTCCACTCTCAGCAGCATCTTGGCTTCTTCCCACCATCCTCCACATATGGGTCACCAGGGAGAGCCCTTCCCCATGTGTGCTCGTAGCCCACAGGGGCCCGGTTCCCACCAAGGTGATCCATACGGCCCAGGTCCAGGTCACCCTCCCCATCAACGCAGCCATGTGTTCCCTCATGATCCTTACGGGTCAGCTCCCAGGGGCCTCCACATGCACCAGCACCAGTACCACCAACAGGGCTCCCAGCAGCAGCAACAGAATCCAGGACAACACTACTCACATCCACACTCCATGCAGGGGGACCCTTACGCCATGCTGGCCCGCGCCCAGCAAATGGTGGATATGCTGTCCGAAGAGAACCGCTTGCTTAAGCAAGAGCTGGAAGTGTGTGGGGAAAAGGTGTCCAAACTACAAAAGGTTAGACCGTCTTTGAAGGTTCACATTATATTATGATTATGTCAGGAGGCAGGAAAACGTCACCAAGTAAAGTTTGGTCTTCTGTGGAGATTCTTGAGGAGATGTGGGAAAAAATGCTGAATGCTGGTCTCATTCAGGTCGTAACGGGTACCACAGACATGTAACCCATATTGTAACAGTTCTCAAGTCTGTGGAAATGTGGGCCAGTTCACGATAGGCCAGTGTTTCCCAGTCTTGTTCCTGGAGGCAAACCAACCAACAGTACACATTTTGGATGTCTCTCTTATCCTACCATCTATTTCTGGTCTTTTTAGTCTCTACTTACAAGCTAATGAGTTGAATCAGGAAGAGTGCAAAAGTGTGTAGTGTTGGTGTGCCTCCAGGAACAGGGTTGGGAAACCCTGTAATAGGCTCTCAGATCGCTAAGTATCAGCTCTGTGAGCAGCACCATTTTGGCACAGAAGCCGTTGAAGAGATTTGAAGGTGTTCTTTGGAATGGACAATAGTTTTTTTTTTTTTTTTCATGCAAGGCTACTTTCCTTACTGCATCGTATCCTTTTGATATTTCAAAAATCCATGCTTTCTATAAGAAGTCTTTTTACTTTGCAGCTGGAGACTGAGATCCAAATGGTGTCTGAAGCCTATGAAAACCTGGCCAAATCATCCACAAAGAGGGAAGCTCTTGAGAAGACCATGAGAAATAAGCTGGAGATGGAGGTGCGCAGGGTACACGACTTCAACAGGGACCTAAGAGGTGAGAACAAAGCAAGATAATTGAATGGAAAAGCAGGTTTTAAGAGAGTATTAGGAGAATATTATGAAAGGAGTGTCCATGAATTGTAACTTGCGACTATATCACATCTTATGAATAAGCAGTGACTCCAAAGCATATTTGTGTCATTTTTATTATATGTTTTGCACTAAAGTTTTAGTTTTCGGTGATATGCATGAAAATCAGTAGATCTGCTTATGGTTGACAGGATGAAATGGATTCCTGGATCACAGTAAGATATAACAGGTTGCAGTAGAGCTTCCAAATTTTGTTAACATTATGTGTATGAACATCAGATGGAGAAACACTACAGGGTCAGTAAATGAGAACTGGTGGTCCCCCCTGGCTCCAACATTCTGTCCTTCCCATTGAAAGAGGCTTCTTATTCTTCTCCAAGTTCAAAGCATTTGAAGTTTCATTCAGTTTGCTTTCTTTTGTGTCATATCTTGTGGCTCTGTGTAGTTTCTATTGGAATCCAAAGAAATAGTCTCTCGCTCTCATTTTTCTGCTGCTGTCAGCAGGCCCGCACCGCCAGAGTGTGGCCACCTCTACGATCATGCCTCACTGTGTTCTTTAGTCCAGCAGAGAACAGAGAACCCCTGATTTATGGCAGTATGCCCAGACTTTGTCCACAGGGAGCTCCAAGAGTTTTACAGCAAATTTTTCTTCTCTCTCTTTTGCCGTTCTTTCTTTCCCCCTGTGATTCTCATATATTCTGTAGCCTGATATACTACTACAGATATTGTTCAAGCATAGATTTGACTAAACGAGATTTCTTGCAATCGATAATTAGTTTTGTTTGCAAAGGCATCCATCAATATTACTCTTGATTATTTTTAGAATCAGGGATTTCAACAAATCCCCAATCATAACTATTAAACTTCAGTGCACATTGTCCAAATATGTTTGTGCTAGGGACACACATGAGTTGAGTGTCAGTAATACTTTTTGGCAACTTCTTGGTAACCACTTGTAGCCTCATTTATATTTTAAATTTAGATAAGAATCTTAATTTTATTGAGAGGCACTGAGGCACAGTGGGGGAAAGGCATTTGATTCTGGAATGCTCATCTCACAGTCTGGTTGACTTAACACGAGGGAAATATTGTTTTAACGTTTGGCCTGCTTCCTTGATGAATGGTTTGCCATTTAAAAAAAAACAGCAACCCCTTCTATATAATGGCCCTTTTATCTGGGCCAGTTTTTGACTTAACAGCACAGTGGGAATTACGGCAAGACCGCTCTTTGGGAATTGTAAAATAAAATGTTTGTTAGATTTTTGTTTACCAATTTGCTGAGCAACCAGTCCCAGTGGTACATAATTTGTGAGAAGAGTCGTGGAATGTGAGTTACATATTCTAGGGTGATTTTTGGTAGGATGGAGAATAGTGCACTAAGCATCTGTTGAAATAATCACAGCTGTTTGCTGCATTTATTGTGTATGAAGTGAATATCAAATATTTCTATTTTGCTGTTAGTATTTTGGAAAGCCTTGATTGTGGTTTTCTCTACAAAGAAATAATAACCACATTTGTTAATGAGATACCATACAAACCTTCACATGGATACATTTGATCTGTTTGACACAGATGGTCTGGTTTTGGGATCCTATTTTCTAACACTGATTTAATCTCTCACACAAACTTTAGTAAACATTGTCATATTTTTGAACTATAAAATCAGGGGACAGTATGATTGTATTGTCTCTTTCTTTCTATAGAGCGAATGGAAACAGCCAACAAGCAGCTTGCAGCAAAAGACTGTGAGGGCACCGAGGACAATCGCAAAACCATCTCACAGCTTCTGACTCAGAGTGAGTGGACCTCTACATCTAGTAGAAATTTAGAACTTTCTTGAAGCCAATGTGATGCACTTGTATTTATCACGGGTTTGTTTTAAAATACCATTTATTTGTAAGCAAATGTCAGTTGCAATATATTGGGAAAGAAAGTGCAGAATATCCATTTTACTCATTTATCAGATAAAGAGAGTCAGAGAGAGAAGGAGAAGCTGGATATCGAGTTGAATTCGCTTCGCTCCACCAACGAGGACCAGCGCAGGCACATTGAGATCCGTGACCAGGCCTTAAACAATGCCCAAGCAAAAGTGGTGAAGCTGGAGGAGGAGGTAAAGCTCACTGATAATCAAGGGTACCCGTGTACCTCTTTAGGAATTCGTTTTACATGCTTTGACTCACTCTAAAGCTGTGTTTTACAAATTTACGACGTATTCATACTTTTTAATAGCCATTTTTTTAAACATTTTATGAATTTAAAATTGGGACACCACCACAGCAATGCAGACATTTAGGTTCCCATGTTCATATTTTCACCTACATGTTAACAAAATTCATTTACATTTTCTACAATTTCTGTGACCATATTTCTGCGTTTATGTATATGTGTGCCCCCTTGTGGTCCTATTGTACATCATTCTCTCAAAACTAAAGAAATCTCAAATGAGTTCTGTTTTCATTTATTTATCTATTTATTTTGGACTTGTAATTGCTGAATCAAGCCGCCATCCAAAAGAAGGTTTGAGGTAGTTTTGGCCCATCTTAGAGAGGGCTTGATATATTCCTGATACTACACAGTTGAACTGACCATTGAACAATACAGCATAGCAGATTGCATTTTGGGAAATAAACTAACATCTGTCAATATTTTCTGCTTATGAGTGTCTGTTGTTAGTGAACAGTGGGTGAACTTTATTAAAATGAGCATTAAATGGACATTTCATTGAGTCATAACCCACTTACCCCCAAACACATCCCTGTGGTACTCCGCCTCAATGTTTAAGCTCAACCTTCTCAAGTTCTTTGAAGTCCTTCCCGTCAACTTCTCATCTCTGCAGTTAAGATCTTCAAGCTTGAGTGAACCGTTGGCTGCAACTTTCTTTGAAACCACACAACGTACTGAGGCCAAAAAAAGCTTCAAGAAAAAAAACGAGAAAAAAAACATTCAAACCGATGTAGCGCTGATGGTTCTGAACTCCGCTCATGAGTGTTTGTAACAGTTGGAGTCTTGGGTTTAGCTCTTCTGGCGTGCTCCCAGATGGCCTTTTGGCCATCGTTGAACGGGGGGCACACCCTTGCGTCCCAAAATGCACCGGGCCCTTCCACTTTTGTTCTACCCTGTCACAAACGCCCGCTTGTTCCCTGAACAAAGCCTCTTGAGTTGTCTGGCATGAAAGGACTTGAAGATGGCTGAATTCTTGCCCTCTCCACCCACCCCTTCCAAACGGGAGCCAAATACTTTAACACTCGCTCTCTCACTCTTCTGTGTTATGATGTCTCCCCCCCCCCCCCCCCCCCCCCCGAGCTAAATTGGGGCATTCATTTTGGCTGCAATTGTGGCCACTGGTGGATTTTAGAGATGTAGAGGAGAGAGAGGTTGAAGGATACAAGGAGGCATTGTAAGGTGGATGGGGGCTTCTGTGTGCAGCGCGAGCAGCAGCGTCTGACCTGCATTCTCTGTGTTTGTATAGCTGAAGAAAAAGCAGGTATATGTGGAGAAGGTGGAGCGGATGCAGCAGGCTTTAGCACAGCTTCAGGCCGCGTGCGAGAAGAGAGAACAGCTGGAGCATCGGCTACGCACTCGACTGGAGAGGGAGCTGGAATCACTGCGAATGCAACAGGTAAGTGATGCACAAGCTTACCTCGAATTGGCCACAATCTGGAACAGAACTGTTTGTTATTATAACAACCTTATTTCCAGCAAAAGATAACAATATTCAGATATATATTTGTGTGAAATATATATATATATTCCTCTTTGGACCTTTCTCCAGACCCCAGTTTGAAAACCCTTGTATTAAACTGCTCAATGCAACCAATTCCTCTTTTCACACAAATATCCATACATGGATGGGTCTCAGTTGTAGACAGCAAGAGCTCATGCTGTCCCTGCGGAGATGAGCTGTTTACCTCTTTCTGTGTGTCGAATTTTTACTGACCCCTAATCTGGAGGAAAGGTTGCAACTCAGCCTCCTTTGTGAATGTGTGTTTGTGTTGAGAGAAGAGGATGAGAAGGAGTAGTAGACAGCTGTATTCTTCATTAGGGGCCCAGAAACTGGACATCCTTCCTCTGTGCTGTTCATTCAACCTGGACACCTGAAACAACCTTCAGATGAGATAAGAATACTTTAGATCAGCGGTACTCGAATGTTAAGGTGTGGTCACATTAGTGAAATTTCACAGACAAAAAATGCCCATTGTTAATAGTGTAGCTAAATATGAAGCACCACTCGCACAGATGTCACTTTCAAACCAAGCCTAAAAAAAAAAATTCACAAAATAATTAATGATTTTCCCTTCTGGGATTTGATCTGTATTTCCCCCTTGGGGTTAAAGTGCAATCAGAAACAACAAGCCAAAAAGACAAGATGGCAGGCCCTGCCTTTGTAAACAGTGAAAATGTAACATAACATAATGTAACATAACATAAAATGGGTGGATTGGGATTGGTGGGATGTAAAAAATAAAATCTTGCATCACAATAACTGTATTGTGATTGTCAAAACATTTGGTAACTAAACAGAATTTTAATAAGTTTAGTGACAACACAATGTTTTAATGGTATTTGTGATTTGATTCTGATCTTGATTCAATATCGTTTCCTTTGGATAAATATTAGGTACAGTAGATACATGTAAATTTTTCAACAAAAAAAAAATCTCACCTAATGCTGTAAACATACAGAGCCCTGTCAGCTGGTATTATTATTAAAGGTTAAAAATAACATCTCAAATTAAATATAATGCGTTTTTTATAATAACAACGTTATAATATTTTAATGATAAAGGTAAAAATATATTTAATATGTAATATAGTTATCATATTTAGCAAAATACTCCTCTCTATAGCAATTTTTTAAAGTCCAACTAACGTCATTAAATGGCTTTCCTGAGGTAAATGTAACGTTATGTGACATATTGTTCTCCAGCTGATTAATGGACCTCTTTCCGCTGTTGAAAAACACTGATCGATCGATTTTATTACATTTCGTTAAGTTGAACTGTATCTTTCAAATTACCTATTGATCATACGTGTTTATTTATTATTAACTAGAGTAACAGATGATCGGTTCACGTGCCGCTTGAACTCTGTCAGAGATCTGTCACGTCACATTTACAAGCGCCAAAGCAGTGTTTGTTTGAATTTCGTAATTAAATTGACAGAATCTGAGAGCTGAGAATCTGTTTCATATCAATAGTAACCTTCTCTTTCTTGTCTATTTGCTTCACGATTTTTCTCTACGTGAGAAAATGGATGTGTGGCGTGAGAGTGTGTAAAAAGTGACAATTGCGTGAGTCTCACGGTAAATTCATGAGAGTTGGCAGCCATGCGGATTCAGTTTGTAAATGTTTGTAAGACTGGGTTGTTTTTTGGCGGGTGTGCTTGTGCTGCCGATATCAGTGTGGGGAAATCTTTTGCCTTTATGCAAAATCCCTGAACACGTGGAGTCATATTGAAATAACTGTATTTTGCATGTGTAAATTTGCCAAACAACGGTAAATGTGACTACACCTTTAGGCCGTGTGACCACCAAAGCGTTTTTTTTTTTCCTGAGGCTAGCATATTTTCCCAATTGTTTTCAATGGGAGCGGCGCTTTTTTAAAACGCCAGCAGCGTCGCGAGGCGCTGAGCGTCTATTTCACACTGAGCTCGAAGCGCTCTACGTTTTTTTCTGGTCGCCGAGAGTGTTCAACTTTGAAACACTGTCACTTTTTACCCACCCGTCCAATCACAGTGGAGGAGGGGCGGGTCAAATACAACACCGACCAACCTCCACATTCTGCTTGTACAATATCAACAGATGACAACAAGAAGCATAATAACAGAGCATAATCATTTAAAACAAGAGCCAGAGCAATCTATCTGTGAAAAAAGATACTAGCAACACTTCCGCTGATATTCCGTATCATAACAAGCAAAGCGCCTCAACAAAAAAAAAAAAAAAAAAATGCTGCGCTGCCGAAGCACTCAAGCGCCTACAGCTAGGTATTTTCAGCTGGCTAAAGCTCTCTTCAAGAGCCAAGTGGACAAATTTTGTCTGTCTGCAAGAGTCCAATTTTAAAAATGCCATAAATTTGGTTATTAAAAATTTGATTGCTTCATAAAGACATGCTTTGGCTATGTTGCAAAACCTAGTGGGCTAATCTCACTGTATACTGAATACATAGACAGTTAACATTCCAACCAAGATTGATAAGTGATTATTTGTAATGCTGTACATAGGCAGCAATTCCATACAGCACACATATAGAATCCCTCACAAGAGACTCATGATTGATTAGCATTTGCTAAGCTAATGTCACAATACTCAAATAAGCATAAAAGACTAATACAAATAAAATAAAAAAAATGACATGGCAGTTTGCATTGGTCCACTCAATCAACTCCACCTGGCTGTCACCTGTCAAGAAAAGTTCAGACTTCATGTTTAGAGAAATATTAGGGATGGATCAGAGTAATGCTATCGATCAGGAAGGGCTACCAATGTTATAGTGTGGAATAAGCTTAGGCTGTAGGTTAGGGGTTTAGTATTTGTTTCAGTGTTGTGTAGGCAATCAGCACTGTAATTGACATGACCAATGAAATCTTAGAATCGGCTGCGTAGGCGGGGTTTGCACTTAATTGATTTGGGAAAGAATTGACACAACTGACTGCGATTAGTTTCATTCATGATATGTTGCTAAGCTACTGATGTGGTGGTAGACTCGACTTCTGAACAGATTGATTCCGATAAAGTTTGAGGTTTGCATGTTGCCAAGCTAATGACTCGGGGGCCGTTTACACGACACCGTTTTCAACTAAAACGTAAAAAAGTATATGCGTATAAAGTATAAAACGGTGATGTCATGTGCATGCGTATTGTGTGTTCAATCTATAGGCGCATAGTGTTTCTTTACAAAGTGACATCGCTAACTACTGGCCTGGCAGCAGAATGCAGCATTTTTTGTCGTTTTCCTGGATCCGTGTGAACAAGGATAATTTTGACGTTGTCATCTGTATGCAATTTAAAAAAAAACTTTTTTAGTACATCATTGTCGTGTAAAGGTACCTTTAGGAAGCATAAAATATACAGCACAGGCAATCAATCAGGTTAGCATTGATGGCAACTCTTGATATTGTCTTGTTTAGCTAACTTAAATGGGAAAAATAGCTATTTTTAGTCCGAATTGAAGATTTCTTATTGGTTCTCTCTCTCTCTCTCTCTCTCTCTCTCTCTCTATCTCTATCTCTATCTCTATCTCTATCTCTCTCTCTCTCTCTCTCTCTCTCTCTCTCTCTCTCTCTCTCTCTCTCTCTCTCTCTCTCTCTCTCTCTCTCTCTCTCTCTCTCTCTCTCTCTCTCTCTCTCTCTCTCTCTCTCTCACAGAGGCATGGTGGTTCTCAGAACACAGTTGGTCCTGAGTTCAGCACAGCAGCTCTGATGGAACACCTGAGAGAAAAAGAGGAGAGGATTTTGGCCCTGGAGGCCGACATGACCAAATGGGAACAGAAATACCTGGAGGAGAGCGTCATGAGACAGTTTGCGCTGGACGCCGCTGCTTCTGTGGCCACACAAAGGTACGCAAGTTCACTGCTATACACTAAGCCAACACTGTAGGAATACATAGTAAGTTATTTGAGATTTCTCAAGGGTATCGTGCTGAAAACTAACATTTTAGCAAAACAATAACACTAAACTGGAACTATAAAGTGCACTACAGTACGAATGGGAAACTATAGAATGTGTGTTTATTTAACAGATGCTTTCATTCAAAGTGATTATGAATACTGAAACTACATAAAATGAAACTAATAGGTGTAATTGCTATTAGATACAAACAAAAGTATCTATGCATTAGGGCTGGGTAAAAAATATTGATTTCTCGATATTAATCGATTCTCATTTTTACGAACCGATATCGATTCTTAAATCTCAAGAATCGATTAGTCATCCTGTTTTCATTTGATGAATGAATGGAACATTGAAGCGCTCATCCCATCCAATAAATCGCAATAATCTTTGTGCTTTGTTACTATTGATACTAAATTAAGTCTCAAATTTCAAATTACGTCCATTTTCTTCCGAAATTCAAAAACATAAATAGTGTTTTGACGCTGTGGCGTGAGATCGCTCTGGCTCAGCTCAGCTCAAGAGAAGCAGCAGCGCGGAGCGCACATGATCTTCTATTCTGCCTTAATACCAGTTACAGCGCGAAATAAACATGAATGAACGTCTGAAAGTGTGTTAAAAGATAGAGTACAACTTATCGAAATCCGTATCATGTCACATGGAATCGCTCAATCAGTGTTTCAACCGTGGAAAGACGTCAGTAAAAAAACTAGTAAACATTGTCATGTAACGTCACATTTACCTTATGTGGAAATATGGAAAAACCATATGTGACCATAAACTCGTTAGTCAGCTAGAAAAATTAACTCTAAAGAGGAGCATTTTGCTAAATAAATGCACCATATTACATATTCATTATAATTTTTAATGTTCTTTGATATTTAATGCATGTTTGAATAAATCTGGCAAGTTTTTATGACAGCCACCATTTAAATGTTTATATTTCATATAACTTTATTATTATAAAATAAATAAGTGTAATTTAAGTGTTTGTATAGCTACAAATCAGTTAATTTTTACCTTCAATATTATATTAGGCTAATGAAGAAATTGAGAAAATTTGCCATGTATTGTACCTGATATCCAAAATAATCAATATTAAATCGAATTGGAATTGAATCGGATTGCAAGCTTGTAAATCGAATCGAATTGTGAAATTTGTGTCAATACCCAGCCCTACTATGCATGATTAAATCTAAATGAAACAAAACTGAAATTTAAAAATACCTCCAAAACAACATAAAAAAGTAACTAGTTAAATTTGACTGAAAATCAATAATTTCTCATTGTTCTTTGTGTTACCTTCTAACCTATCCAGAGACACGTCCTCTGTCATCATCAGCCACTCCCCCAGCAGCAGCTACGACACTTCGGTGGAGGCACGTATCCAGAAAGAAGAAGAGGAGATCCTCATGGCCAACCGCCGCTGCCTGGACATGGAGAGCAGGATCAAGAACCTGCACGCTCAGATCATAGAGAAGGACGCCATGATAAAGGTGCTGCATCAGCGCTCGCGCAAAGATCCGGCCAGCAAATTAGACGCCCCGGCCATGAGGCCCTCCAAGTCCCTCATGTCCATCGCTATGGGCACGGGCAGCTCCAGCGGCTCCAGCGGCTCCGGGCTGCTGTCACACTCTCTGGGCCTCAGCGGGAGCAGCCCCATCACGGAGGAACGCAGGGAAGACCGCAGCTGGAAGGGCAGTCTGGGTACGTGAGTCCAGTGTGAAGGGAGAAATAGATCTGAAATGAACCCTCAGAGAAGTAATACAATACTACATATTTTCACTAATATTGTGACACTGAAAACTGGAGTAATGTCTGCTGAAAATTCAGCTTTAACATCACAGGAATAAATGACATTTTATATATTCATATAGGAACCAGTTATTTTAAATTGTTATTATATTAATAACATTACATGAAACATTACAAAAAAAACTTTTGGCCGGTAGTATATTTACCCTTTTAATCTCCCAACATGCCAAAATCACACATTATGAATCTCAAAACATGAATTTGTATACTGGCAGAAATATTGCAGTGTTTTATTATTTAGGTCTATATGCAAGGGACAATTCATGGCTATCTTAATGCACAACGTGGAGGCAAAGAACTAATCGACGCAAAGAGCATTCAAATCGTTTAATCTAGCCATGGATTATCGTGTTTATACCATTGTCATTTGCCAGTATTAACAACTTAAAGCTTTTATTGATGTTTGCAGTGCAATATTTAGCCGGAAGAGTTACATTCTGCTTGCTTTGAAACAGACACAGAGATAAAGTAGTAAAATTACATTTATTTTAATGAATGAATTTATAGCATTTATTGAGAGAAAGAGATGTGTGCGCGAATAACCTGCATCTGTTCAGCGTCTCTCTCTATTAACAATGAAGCTGTGAGTTTATTAACTTTACCCCCTCGTTGCTGATAAATATAATGTAGCGGTTCAGCTGCGAAGCTATTTTATCAATAAAAGTCGTGGGGCAGCGTTGAGTTTCTGTGTATTCTGTGTTTCTGTTTGAGCGGTGCTATCTCTTAGTGACGTATGTGTGTGCGCGCACTTCATTAAAAACAGTGCATTAATATAGAACAGTGATTAAACTGACTGGAACTACCTGTGCATTAAATGGTTTTATTGCACACCTTCCAGCAAATCATAATTGAGTATTCAGACAGATTCATAAAAGTACAGCTCGGAAATGGTCGTTTCCCAATGATATTAAAGCACATGTACTTGTATACCAAGTTATAAAAGTGGTGAAATTTTGCAATATAGTCTATTGATGTATCCTGTCACTCAGTCTGATTTGTTCCTCTTCATGTTCCAGGTGTTCTGCTGGGCCCAGAGTTCAGAGGTGACTCTTTGAGGACAGGGTCCATCTCCTCCTCTCCATCTCCAGTCCTGCCCTCCACCCCGATGCCAGCTGCCACACACTCAAAGACTGGCAGCAGAGACAGCTGCACTCAGACGGAGAAGGGTCAGGAGGCCAGCAAGCCGAGCACACCTGCCCTGCAGAGCGTTCCCGGACCCAGCCGGATCAGCAGCCCGAGCCCCGTCTACATACCCGACCGCATCGCCGGTACAGCTCGCACACACACACACAATCATGTTAAAGTGTGTAAACCTGCTGTGTGTTTCTTCTGTGTTTTCATTATGGGAAACCAACTCAACAACCACTAATGACAGGTTGAATGGCATTGAGCTAAATGTTTGTCTTTCCATGCAACTGGTGAGCCGTGGAAAGTAAAACAAAGGACAAATGGATAAAATTATCAATGAAATTACTTCTTTTTTTTTTTAAATCCAGATTATATAAATTATCAGCAATACATTGAACTTGCAATTCATACAGTAACTTTAATATACTTCTGTGATGAGCTTGTTTTTAATTTCTAAAAAATGTCAGGGTGGTGCAACTGTCCTGATGTAGTTACTAAGAAAAAAAGCCTCATTAAAAGAATGAAATTCTTAGTTTGGCACAACTTATCTTTATTTCTTAGATAAATGCACTGTAGTTTTAAAATATTATTATAAATATTGAAATGATTTACTGCATCAAAGGCACGTGGTGCTGCCAATGTGGATGCAGAGGAAAAGAAAATCTCAGATAAAATCTTTACGATAAGGCAACGCTAGTTCAGGTTGTAAAATGTCATCTGGTGCGACTCAAAAACGTAATATTTATGAATTAAAAATAGATGTGTGAAAAATAATTATAAAAAACATTTTTGAAAATAATACTTGAGATGTGAACACTCAGATGTATTCAAGGTGTGAGGAGAATGTTTTACTTTTACTTGGTCGCACCACATTTCTTAAAACCCTATTAAACCAACATGAATACAAAGAGTACATATGAAAGAACGTGGCACAAAACTAGCTTTTTTTAAAGATTTTCTTTTCTTTACCTTGGACACTCTTATTCACCATTGACCCATAAACATCTGCATGCGTCTTTGTCTCTACAGATGTGCCAGTGTTTCACACCAATACATTAGAGAGGAGAGCGCCAGTGCAGTCGCTCCCGCCGCAGGACGTGGACAGCGAGATGGTGGAAATACTCATCTGATCACACACATATTGATAAAGAAACAAAGCAGGTGAAGGAATCCTTCCCTCCGTTACACTTTCAGATCAAGATGTCGAGACAGATGTTTAGGAACAAACTCTTTACAAAAATCGGCGAACAACAACATTCACAATCAACACTTTTTTGTACAGTATTGTCTGGTGGAATTTCCCCCCCTCCAGACCTTCGGACCAAATATGCTGCCATAATCTTTTACATTTATTGCACTACTTTCTTTGTTTTTACTTATTTTTTTGGGTATGCAATTGTTATGTTGTGTATATGTACTAATAATGTGGCACTTGAGTATCTAGCAAAATGGTGAGTTGCCGGACAGTTATGTGTAAATACTGCATTGGAATACTGTAAATCTGAATGTCGTAGGGCCTTTTTTATTCTAGGACGCAATGTCTGTACGGCACGTTCTGTACGGTTCACAGCGCACTGTTTAAGAGCAATGGACCAACAAGCATTCACCTGTGTGTCCAGAAGCTCAGAAGTATGTGAAAGTATGAGTGACCCAACTGGTTTTGGGTTTGTCTGTGTGAGAGTCTGTAGTTTTTCCAATCATAACTAAGGTCTATCATTCCAGTAGAGCTCCAGCAGCCACAAACGTGCCTTGGTTGAGAGGTACCACACACACACACACACTCCGGACTTCCAGGTCTGTCCTTTCAGTTTGGAAATCCTCCAAACCTCTCGTTTCAATGTGATAGTTACTCCAAATTCATTTTTTGATAGCTTTTTTTCCCAGTCTTGTGGTTGCAAGCAAACTCTTGACCAAAGGAATCTGTAAAGACCAAGCAATGATCCTCAGGTTATTAAGAGGGTCTAAACCAGGGGTGTCCAATCCTGCTCCTGCAGAGTTTACATCCAACCCCTATTAAACACACCTCAACCAGAGAATCAACTTGCAGGCAGGTGTGTTGAGGCAAGTTGGAGCTAAACTCTGCAGGACAGGTGCCCTCCAGGACTGAGTTTGGACGGTGAACGTGATTTTACCAAGTACATCATGTTGATGGATCACCATCTTTGTTGATCCTGGAACATCATTCTAATCAACCAATCAGATTTGAGGGACAAGTTTACAGTTTGTCAAGTTTAGGCTTGCTACCAGTCAGGTGCTTCTACATCAGTGTTATTCACCTATCATTTCCCTCTGATTAGGGATATGGTTAGGACTAAATTTACGAACAGGAATGTTGTTCCGGGATCAACAAATATGTCTATTCAGGAACATGACTTTCTTGGAGTTTGGACACCCCTGATCTAACCTAACTCAAGATTACACGGATGTGTAAATGAGATTCTTCCGTGAAATCAGGAAATATCTATGAAACCGTCTGATTTGACTGCTTTCATTATTTTCTCATGTGCTCCATAGTTTGTGGAATTTCCTCCGTGTGACCTCTGGATCTAAATTCGCGAGAGATTTTCTTTTGCTCGACACTCAGTCCCTGACGTCAATGTGACGTCTGTTCGCAATGTCCGTTTTCATCTGGAACATGTCACATTCAGTGTCTGCACATTTCTAAAACGTTCCCTGGCAGACGTTACAACAACATTCAGCTGATTTATTTGTGAATTCACTCGTGTTTCTCAGGTGCTTATACACAAATATGACCGTTAATACACAATGCTGTCCAGATGATGCGTGCGTTCACTGGGGTTGTTTGGCGATTTGTCATTTACGCATAAATGATGAGCAAGTTTAAGTTTCTGAAGCAGGTCATCATTTCAAAGAACTCAAAAGCATGTATGAATGACTACACTACCATTCATACTGACCCAAAACTTTTGAGCACTAAGCATATTCTGCCAAACCATGAGGCATATAATAATGACACCTTGAGAAAGATCCGTTAGCATTCCATTTCCTCTCAAAGGTCCTGCTGGTGCAGGCAGTGTCGTTTTGAGCTCTAAAGGTCATGTGACTAATGTGGAGCCATTATATGATGATTTCAGACACACAAGGATAAAGAAATGAGATCCTGCTAGCAGTTTCATATTTACAGTTCAGTTTTTGGTTAAACAACCACATAGATTCCATACCATTTGATGTTATGGAAACAAATTTCACTGTAGTTGATTTCATATGGAATTAGTTTTGAAACATGGACCAAATGGAATTCATTTACAAGTATTAAGTATTTGAGCACAGTCAGTCTCAGTTCAGCACACTGTGTGCCTCGGTACTTGACATTTTGTACACAATCAATCTTTTATCTCATTTGCTTGAGATAGAAACTAGTTCCTTCCTGTCTTTCAGTTTGAAATAAAATCTGAAAACATTTCCGGTATTGTTAGATGACCCATTGTCAAAACACTCAACGGCTGGGTATTTAATCAAGTTTGAAGAGCACTCATCTAATTTAGGCACAAACTAAGACAATGGACCTAAGAGTGGACTGAGACAAAGGTGGGACAAAATGCTGATAAACCCACATTACATTTAAAATAGTTCCCTGAATGCAAACTGATATGGTCCACAACAGAATGCTTTAAAAGTGTCTCAAATGGCTCAACTAAACCGAGTTAAAGTTTAACCTCACCGTGAGGCTAATCTAGTCTGGATTTCATTAGCACATTTATCAGTTTGTTCCACCTCAAGCCTCAGCGTAGTAATCTAAACCTATCTTGATGGTCTTGCTACACTTGATACTTTAAAGTTTGAGCTTCTAAAGGAGAATGTGTCGTAGTCCATCTCAGGACGAATTACGAGAATGTGTTTTTGTATTATTGTTTTGTATAGTATCTACCCTTTTGTCCCATCAATGGGCATTTTACGTATTCTTTCTCCTCACGAGGACGGTTTTCATTCATTTCACTAGTATTTGATTCATTACAAAATGTCACTCTAGTTGCTGCTTGACAATTCATTTGAATTAAATGGTATTCCTGTTTATCATTTTCCATCTTATCTCATGCAGATGTTGTATAAGGCTTTACATATTTCATTTGGTTTATAGTCTAAAGTGTTTCAGTACCTTTTTTTTTTCTTGGTTAATTTAATTTTTTAATAAACTGATCCAATTGCATCATGTAGTTGTTGTTTTTTGACAGGCATCAATGCAGTTTACTGCACGTTAACATTTAGAGAATGAGCCATCTGAGAATAATTAATTTTTATTATTTTAAATATACATTCATCAGGCTAGGCAAATGTTAAAATGGGTGAAGGCTATTCAAGTGCCTAATTGGAAGAAAACTAAATATAAACCCTCATATTTAGACTTTCATAACCTGCAAGGCTTGTAAAGCATGCAGAATCTCATTTACATAGTTTGCCGAATAAATCAAACACGAAACAAACTAGCTTCTACTAGTCTGATCAAAGAGCCAAAGAGAGATGGCATTACTGAATGACATCATCTGTGAGAAAAACATGCTTGAGTTCCCTCAAACCACTTGCAGACCAAAGTGACCCATGTCACAAGCATGATCTCACAACGCACATATAATGGATGGTGCAAACATGTATGCCTCATTCTGAAGACAGTCCTCTAAAGGAGCAGTTTACCATAATTGGGATGGAACGAATGCATCCATGTAAATCACTGGAACACAATATGTGCACAGTGTTGTAGTTCCCGGGCTCTTCAGCTCTTGTAGTGTTGTGAGGTGAGCCGTCATCTGCGCATCCACACCCAGCCGTTGATCAGACAGGCAGACAGTAAGAGAGAGAAGAGCACCAGCTCGGTCTGTCTGCGCTCTGTGTTCTGTCTCTCCAGACCTGCTACCCTCCTGCTCATCTTCACCACCTGAACCAATCAAAGCCAAGGAACACAATCAATGTGATGCACAATAATATACATCATACAGGGCCCTATGATTTCCGCGATGCGGAAAAAGCGGACCGAATCCAATCACAAAAAAGGTGTATAACACGGAATTTGTCCAATTTTTGATGAATAAATAAAAAGCAGGCCAGTACATTTAAATCAAATCACGACATATAGTCTAGTGTCTGTGAATATTAAACCGCAAAAGACTATTTAAATATGAATCCTACATGTTCTGTGTGTCTGTGAATGAATGGCGCAGACGCGCAGTTTCATTTCCCCCACACACACTGAAGCACGCGTGACGCTCACAGTGTTTTCAGTCTCTGCTGTGTATAGTGTATATGACGACATGAATGCATGAACTTCATCTCCAGAGCCGCTCTCTTTATGAGCATTTTACCGTTTCATTTAAGAAAAACTATCGTCATATCATAAACACAGTAGAGACTCAACCCTGATAGCACACTATCACGGAGACGTCTGTTTGATGTGCGTGTTTACATCTGGATTTTTTACTCGTTAACATTTTTGCTCGTGTATTGCTCATCTGCAATACGTCTAGGATGTTTCCTGTCAGATGTCAAATAGACGTTTAGAAAATGTCTTTAATATGTTTATGATTTAGAATGTATGTAAAACTGACATCTTAAAAACGTCTATCAGATGTTAGTAAACAGCAGATGCTTTCCAGATGAAGTGATCTTTAAAGGGATAGTTCACCCAAAAATGAAAATAGGCTTTATGCCGAGCGTCACGTGACCAAGCCGGAAAACAGATCACATCGCTTCCGATTCAGGTCTTTTGAATGTGCTTCATGAACATTTTTGCGGTTTTACTCAAGATAACTTAAAAGGAGCAAGCAAAAATGAGCATAACCAATGTCCCTCGCATGTGCAGATTGATATTTAAAAGTTTTTTCATTTTTCTTCTTCACACTAACGTTTAGATATTTAAACACCAATAACAAAGTGAACTTAGTAGGTTAGCTGATTACCTTAAAAATCCATAGATAGCGTAGTTAGTTCTTACGGCCGTTAACACTTTCTCTGACAAGCGGATGCAATGAGACCCGTTTTCCGGTTTGGTCACGTGACGCTCGGCATAAAGCCTATTCTGTCAGTAATTACTTGAAAGATGAAATCTGAGAGCGGTCTCACTCCTTCATAGGCTACTAGGTAATTGCATTTGCCAGCCCAGAAAAGTTAGCAAAGACATCGTTAAAATAGTCCGAGTGACTACAGTGGCTCAACCTCAAGTTTATCAAATGACGAGAATACTTTTTGTGTGCAAAAACAAAACAAAAATAGCGACTTTATTAAACAAACTTTCCTGCCACTCTTACGCTATTCAGTTTGTTGGGCTATTCACAAAGTACAGCTCTTCTGAGTTTTACGGCAGAACGCTGGTTCATTATTGACTGAGCACGATCACATGATCACATGCATGCATTATGGTGCTTACGTGAACCTTCTAGCAGACTGGCATGGAGGAGAATAGATTGTTGAATTAAGTCGTTATTTAATTTTTTGTTTGTTTTTGCGCACAAAAATGATTTCTCATTGATTCATAACATTAAGGTTGATCCACTGGAGTCACATGGACCATTTTAACAATGTCTTTACTGCCTTTCTGGGGCTTGACTGTGGTTATTACGTTGCAGTCTGTGGATGGTTCAGACAGCCCTCGGATTTCATCAAAAATATCTTCATTTGTGTTCTGAAGATGAACGAATCTCTTACGGGTTTGGAAGGATGAGTAATTAATGACAGAATTTTCATTTTTGGGTGAACTAACCCTTTAAAGTTGTGACAGAAATATATTACTGTTGTACAGAAGAATTTAGCTGCGTCTCAATGTAATAATAATAATAATGATTATTAAAACTTTATTTTTTAAGGTATAATCACAATTTCATTGAAATAAGAAAAAAATATATATATTAAAATAGTTTTTATGAATTCAATTAATTAGACATGCTTTTTGATTATTAAAATGGAATCAAACCATTAAAATGGAATCCAGAAGACTTGGAATCTAACAGTCTTTGGTAAAAATAAAATGGAATTTCAGAAAAAGAAAAGAAACGTATTTTTTTTTAAACTTTTAATACATTGTATGTTTCATTATTTTTAATTAATTAGACATGCTTTTTGATTACTAAAATAAAATTATTTTTGAGTCCAATAAAATAAAAAACGGAATTCGGAAAATCATTCAAACGGATTTCATAGGGTATAAACTAGTTCAAATTTTTTTTGACATTAGTTAATCTATTACCTAACATGAGTAATACATTTGTTACTGTTGAAATTAACATGAATAAAAGATTAATAAATGCTGTAGAAGTGCAGTTCATTAGTTCATGTTAACTAATGAAACCTTATTGTAAAGTCCCATTGAAAAAATTAATTGTGCAAAATCCTCTCTTCCTCATTTTCATAATTTACACATTTCTATTTTTGTGAAGGTACATTTTTGTATGTCAAGCATACACCTTTTATACATACACGTTACACAATTGTGTCACGTAAAATGATTCATGCTTGTCATAGAAAATGAACCTACCCAATGGAATAATAAAAAACCTGGGCCTTGTGGTCGGTGTGAAGCTCCAGCACTGACCTGTCTGCGGAGCACCATCAACTCAACAGCAGTGCCGGTGTCCTCTTCAGGACTGAGCCAGAACTCCTGCGAGGCACTGTGGGACGGAGCGTGGCGTTAACAAAGACACTTCGACATCTTTCATGAAACATACTGAACGCCCTGCCCTCCCTTCCATCACTGCTTTAACCAATTCAATGTGCTTCCTCAACACGATCCGTTATGATAAAAGACTCTCCATTAACAACATACAGCAGCGTCCCACTATTGAATGCATGGAAACTGCATGAGCCACTGTCACCTTGTCCTGCTCTGATCAGGTTGAACCTCCACAGCCTGAGAGGGATGGTTTTCGGGGTAACCAAACCTTAAAACACAAGAGAGACACCAGGAACCACAGCAGTCCACATTGAACATGATTTTGTGAACAAATCCATTTTAAAATGAGTAGAAAGGTGGAACTAAAAGCTCAAAGCTTGTTAGTTGCTCAGGTAAAGGAATAGAAGTGAATCGAATCAAAGCCCAAAGCTCTGATGTGAATCTGCAGGCATGAAAGTGCACCAACTCTGAAAGCCGAAATAATGCAGTTCAATCAGAAACAACTAAACAGCATGGCTTCAAAGGGCAAAGCAAACAGCTGAAGGCTGAATATGCCAGGTTAGCGGGAAGGGGAAAAGCATGGCGTGCAGGATGAGGATCCGTGTGTCACCTGGAGGAGTACTTCTGCAGGAGTTTCTGGGACGCCTGCTGGCCCAGCTCCCTGGCGGCCTGTAGCATGCTCTGTGGGGACAGCAGGTTGGGCGGGATAGAGGGAAGCCCCGGGGGCTTTGGCGGGGACGGGTCTGTGTGTCCAACACGGCGGCTATTGCGGACAGGGGTACGGACATAGAGGGACACCGCTGTTATTTAAAGACTGATACTAGGACAGCTGTAATACACAAACCTGACAGTCTTTATGTGGACGGGTTTGTGTCTCATCGGGTAAATAAGCATCTCCTTTAGAGCAGAAGATGATGTAAACTGACCGAATGTAACAACCAATCTCTCCTGCCCTCTAGTGGATGTTTGGTGGTAGTGAGGCGTGTATAAAAAGGCTATGAAATGAATGATGAACACATACTGTAGTACTTCTCTGAAAATGTTCAATTAGGGGAGCGACAATGAAATATATTTAGGCCTGGTTTCACAGACAGGGCTTAGATTAAGCCAGGATTAGGCCTTAGTTCAATTAGGACATATAGCTTTTATAAATATCCCTTAGAAAAAAATATTACTGGTTTGCAACTTGAGACAAAACAATGGCACTTACATATTTTAAGATTGCTTTCAGTTAAAACAGCTCAACCATGCATTTTAGTCTGGGACTAGCATCTTTGAAACCAGGGGCTAAAAAAAGTAGTAAAACTGAATTTAAAACAGCATTTGCTAATTCTTTTATAATTATGTATACTGCTTTTATGAGCTCATGTTTATTGAGAGACTACATGGAATGGAAAATGCATCTGTCACACTGTAGGACCATTTAAAATGACCTAGCAAAGGCGAAAGTGGGGAATAAAACAGTAAAATGCTGACCTACTTCACTTAAAATCCTTATATTGACAATAAAAATCCATGTAACATTATGTCAACTACCAATATGTATATCACTGTATTCGTTTACATATAAACATATTGAAAAGAATAATTGTGCAAAATCATTATACATTGTATATTGTGTATTATGTATATAAATATGTATATTTACAGAGATTTGTATTAGAAAATCTATTGTGCAAAACCCTATATATATATATACACACCAGTGTACTTTCATTGTGGTCAATCATATTTGTCAGCTTCTTTGTATATGAAAGATCACTATAACACTAAGGATTTGATTCCCACTAAGTGCTTAAAGAATGAGCTGGACTTACGGAGACTGGGAGCGCAGTGTTTGTCTGGAGTGTGTGGGGGTTCCAGGCGGGGTTCGACCGAAGGCCTGGTCACTATAAGACCTTCGCAATGGACTCTGCGTGACATTACAAGAAATATCATCAAATGGTCCTCCTCATTGACATTTATATATTTTGTTAAATGGCCCAAAAGTTATCCTGGAACCATTTTTACACCATTCTTTTATTAATATAATATAAACACATAAAAAAAAAACCTGATTGGTCACATTACGTGTGTGTCAAGCTAATCTTCGGTCTGAGTGAGAAGATCTAGGCCAGAATAAACTGCCATTTATGGACCTTTTCGCCATGTAGTCAAAGGTCTGGCTGTGAGGTTAAGTGAGACTACCTGGACAGGCTCTCTCATTAACGCGTCCCTGTCCCTGGACGCGTGCTGCAAGTCCCACGTTGATGTTGTGTGTTTGGAGAAAAGAGGTCGTGGACTCATATCAGGAGCATCTGTTTAAAAAAAAAAGTCAAAGATTTAAGAGGACATATTTTGGAAAAGATTTGGAATAATTAAGATGATATGTTTCTGAAAGAAGTCTCTTATGCTCACCATTTATATAATTAAAAATACAGTAAAAACAGTGATATTACAATTTAACAATTTACTATTTTAATACATTTTAAATGGGTCATGAATTGAGAAATAATTTTTTTTTTTGTTGATCTTTTGAGATGTAAGAGGTCATTTTCCTATAAAGCATCCTTTTTCACTTTATTAAATGGAATGAACTATGAGTTCCTATAAGAATGACAAACAACAAACGATGGTACATTCATATAATTCTGCTTAAACGAAACACCACAAGTAATCATTTGTCAATTATAAATGTTATAACTCAAGTACTTATGCTTTATATATCTTGGCTGTGGCAAATAGTTTATGTAATACGCATAAATGTTTCAACTACTACTATGTAACGAGATTTATTTCAACATCGGAAGTTTAAAAACTATTCCACAAGTGTAATGCAGGGACGTTGAAAATTATTTTAATATACAAAACTGTTACCCAATCATAGCAAAGGGCGTTTACTTCCAAGTATTGAATGCGGGACGCCCATCAAAATGAAGTGTTTCAAACAGAGGGTCAAAAACATAGAAAGATAATAGCCTATTACTTCTAAATTAGGATGTTTTGTTTAATTACAAATCTAGCTAACATTATAAGTGGACCTCATTTAAAGTCTAAAAAAAATACCCCTTTAAAAAGCAAATTATTCCTGTGATGGAAAAGCTGAATGTTCATTACTCCAGTCTTCTTCATTCTGAAATTATGCTGATTTGGTTTGATTATTCTTGGTGCTCAATTATTAATAATGGTTCTTCTTATCATTAATGTTGAAAACATTAATGTCTTTCTGCTTAATTTTTTTGTGGAAACCATAACATTTTTAATACCCCTAACCCCAAACTTTTGAAAAAGTTGGTAAACCACAGCTCCATAAATAAAATAAAAATAAAATAAATGTTATTGCATGCTCTATATTGCATAAGAACATGCAATTGGTGAGAACATGCAATTAATAATTTGTATTTATGGAGCTGTGGTGTGATTTTTTTTGTGATTTGTATTGGAGCATTATGAAAATACCTGTTAAGGCCAGTCTGTCTGGTATGTGCATGCTGTAGGCAGCAGACAGATCTTCCGGTTCGTGCGCGTGACGCGCTGGACCGACCCTCAGCCGCTCGGGCACGCGCATCCTCTGGCTGATGGCCTCGGTGAAGTCGCGCTCGCGCATCGGCGGACCGTCACCAAAATATCCCGTTGATGCCATGACTAACGTTACCCTAATGCCAGTAAAGAGAATTAGACCAACCGCATGGCTCCACATCAAAAGTTAAGCTGCGTTAATACGTGAGCAAAACAAGGACACGGACTAAAATAGATTACAATATAAATTCGTGGTAAGTAGCAAATATTCAAGATAGAGGCAACGTGCTGGTTGTTATATATTAGGAGCGTTCTGTGACCGTCTGTGACCCATGTGATAACGTTGCAGCCATCAAAATAGTTCACTCATCATGACCTACGCAGTCTCCTTGATAGACGTCGATATTGGCGAAGCAGTTTAAATATACAGTTCATATTTCTAGCAAAACACCGGTCCGAAATCCGAATATAAACAGACACCTGTTGATTAGTTAACGTTACAGCACCGCGGGGCTAAATTCTTCAACTCTTACATGGTCCACGACTCGGTCAAAACGGTTTGGTTTCGGTTTTCCAGCCAGATTTTTGCACATGTACTAGCGACAGATTATAGGCAGATCATTTAAGTGTCTTTTTGCCTCAATATAAACATTTCTTTAAACTTTAAACAAGCTGTTTAACCAACCTTCATGCATTTCACGGCGACTGACGTCTATGACGTCGTGTTTCTGCGTGCAAAAGTGGGCGGTGCATACCTCGGCGTTAGCCAATCAGAAAACTCTTATGTGTTTGGAGGCGGGACTACTGCTTGTCCAGCTCTGGTCCAAACAAACCTGTTAGGAAACAAATCGCTGACATCTGCTCTAAATTACAGTGAATTAGCACATTCATTTTCTTAATTAAATAACAAACAGACAAATATATACAGCGTATAAACTATTCTCCAAAAACATCAGTGCTTGCTTTCACAAAAAGTAAATTGCCACTTGAATTGGACCATTCGGTTCTCAGAAGTAACATAGTTGTTTTATCTATTTTATTTAACCATTAGAGAGCATTTGGCCATAAATCCATAGTTCTGAGCAAAATGTAAACAGGTTGTGTTTCTCTGACAGTTAGCCTGTTATAGTGAACTAAAACTAAAATCACGTAAAATAAAATAGGCCTGAATTAAAATAAAATAAACATTACTTGAAATAAAATTATATATATGTATGCATGTATATATATAATTTTAGTTCAGGTAATGTTTATTTTTATTAGGCTAGTTTTTGTTTTTAATTAATGTCTGTTTAGTTGATATATATATATATATATATATATATATATATATATATATATATATATATATATATATACAGATATTTAAAAAAAAAAATCACAAAAACACAAGATAACAAAAAAATATGTAAAAATACAACTAATTTAAATATGAATACAAACTTTAATAGTACCACAATGATACTAAAATAGCACTTTTTTTCAAATCACAACTGTTTGATTAAGCAGATACATTTACTGTGAATTTAAACTTAATTAAATGATGCATGTATGATATTTGTGACAAAAAAAAACAGATTAACATGATTAAAAAAAAAAAACATGTCAATCTCATTGGAAGCTCTGCTAACATGCATGTTGGTCAAATCTTTAAAGAAAAAGACAGATTTGTTATGGAAGACTCCAAAGACTTTTTTTATTAAGTTAATGGTCTCTTAAACAACTAAAGCCCAATTAAAAGCACTAGAGAACAAGAAATTGTAATTTTATTTTGGTGAGACAAAATTATTTTGGTAATTTTACATTGATGAATTAATGCTTTAAACAAGCCTGTGTGTCAAAACACAAAGCACTCCTGAATAAAAGTGAGCTCACAGAGCTGTATTCGAATTTCCCCCAATTCAAGCTTAAATATGACATATATGACTATGAATATATGAATATGAAATACTTCCAAAGCAAAGTAATAATAATAATAAAAAATAAAACTAGATTCATGCATCAGTTTACCATTTAGGCAATTGACTTTTGTGCGCAACAGATCTGATTATATGTATTGTATATTCACACAAATGGATATTCGAGTATATTATATCCATTTGGTATAGACATTGCCATGATGCCTAAGATGAAGGACATTTGACACAAGACATACACAAATGTACATTTTTATCATATAATTATGAATTACAATACCAGTAGTGCTTATGTTAATCAAATGTTTCAATTTAAATGCAAAATGAGTGTAACCAGCACAAACAGATCTAAGATAATCAGAGCCACAGTGGAAAAATATACACATAAATGATCAAATGAAAAGAAAACAAAAATGCATATATGATTGAAAGATCATGCAGTTTGGCTTGAAGAACAACAATGGTGCATTATGTTTTGGTTTTGGATATACATATATATTTAGCATATAAACCCAAGCCCGTGGCTCCTGTGGCACATTCTTACTAGCGCAAACGCTAGACAGAAACATGACTGCTGGCAACAGGCATAGATATACAAACACATTTACACACACACACGCACACATATTCCCTGACACATTTCTTCACGCGTACAGTTCTCTCTTGGTCTAAAATAAACACAAAGATAAGCCACACTTGACATTATCTTCAGTTCTTGCTACCTCTTACATGGTGTTGTTCATTAGAAACCTGTTGCTTCATACGCCATCGTCGTAACGTTCAGCCATAACTTACAACTCATAGCCCACCTCTCAACGCTTGTCATCCACTGTAGTGAGCTGTCTATGCTATTCTCTTATCGGTCTGAAACTGATCTGCAGTCTGTGCCAGCTATTATCAAAGCCGTCTACAGAGCTGGGTGCTCCATCAGCGTAAAAGACAGCCTGTCAGGGCATCATGGGATTGATTGTTGCGGCTGGAGTAAGAGGCCCAGGAGACATGAGCCGAGCCTCAAGCCAAGTAAGCAGTTTGCAATTCGTCCATTTTCAATGCGGAGAAGCAAGGTCAAACCTCACTTCCCCAGTCCATCCGTCCAACACTGTGCTTGCTTATGTCCAATCCCTTCGGTCTACTGTTTGGATGAAAGCGTTTGGTCATGCTAAAGTTTGAACCCTTTTTGAAATTAGCAGTTTATAATAAGTGTTTTCAGCACAATTATATTAAGGCTCCATTAGTTTTAGTGCTTCGCCCAACAACCCACTGACCTACTTGTAATGTCGCTCTTGCATTTATATTGGATTGATACAGCGATATTCCCATCACAACACTAAAGGTACAGTCACATCAGCGAAATTTTGCGGGCAAAACCGGGTTCAATGTCTATTGTCAGTTGTGTAGTGATGTATGAAACACAGCTTACACAGACCCTGCTTACACCTGCTATTAAGAAGCTTTTTCCTCAATCCGTTCACAAGAGGACGACGCTAAATACAGGTGTAAAAAGGTCAGAAAGAACATTCAACATTCGAAATATGTAAATTACGTGAGGTTATTTCATCCATTAGATTGAAAGATCTGAAAAAGCACATAAATGTACCCGCCCATAGACCCTCCCCTCGAAGAAATCAGGACAGAAGTGGTTGAAAGTGGATAAAAGACCAGGATTAAATCACCAGGTGTAAACTGGAAAGTGTCTCCCTCGCATCTTAATACCAGGTGTAAACTGGGCTACTGAAGTCACTTTAAAACCAAGCAGCCTTCTGTTAGTCAACGCTGTGAATTTGAGTGACCATCTTGAACCTGAAAATCTGAGTAGAGAAATCTTTCGCCCTCATGCGAAATTCCGAATGACAAGGATTTCTATTGAAATAACTGGATATTGCCCATCAAACAACAGTAAATGTGACCGTACCTTAAGCCAAATATCCCATTCACTCAAAGTTGGCAGTGTGAGAGATTATTTACAAATTTACTGCAACGGCAGCAGTTCATTGGCTTAAACCTGAGCTGGAAAACATGATTCAGCTGCATGTTTGGTTGACTAGGTAGAGCACAAGCCGTGTACACAGAGATATAGTGATGAGGAGGGAAAACAAGCAGTGAGAACAAGCAGCATTATAGTACAGTATAGCACCTGGTGATGTCAAAAGCCACAGAAAGCTTTGTACAAAATCACACAGTTTTTACGCTGTTATAAAAAAAGAGTAATAAAACACATTGTAAACAGTCTGAGAATGACGGGGAGAACAACAAAAACAAGAACTTGAGGGCCTGGAATGTTGTATTATCCAAAGATTGGACCCCAAACACAGGTTTTTTAGTTTGAGTTTTTGTGCATTTGTGTCTTGGGAGAGAGTGATTGTGTGAGCACAGCGTTTGAGGTAAAATCTCTCAATAACCATAAAATCACAAGCAGCCTAGCAGACGATTTGATTGACTATTCTTCTTGTTTCTAAGGCCTAGTTCCACACACATTCTATGTGAATTTCTGTGTATGTGTCTGTAAACAATCGAATTGTGAGCATACGTGAGAGTGCATTTTCCACAAGATACGGCGTGATCGTAGCGTATATATGATTCGGATGTTGTATTTTGCATTTGTTTTGTTCCCGTCAGTGTTACAATTTACACATGAGAGTGTATTACTAATTCTGACGTTGGTATGGATCAGAGATACTGCTGGTATAAGATTTCACAGGGCTTAGTATACATAGTGGTGTAAGGGAATCTATGAAATCACGACTTTATAAACACAACACTCTAGAAATATTCGGTGTGTCTGAACATTCCTACGATACACCAATTAGATTTGGCACATCCTCATGAACAATCCTTTCGTTTCCTAGCAGGCTCTGAAGCTTGATGCCCGACGCGATTACGACGCAGAGCGCAACTTGCCGACTCTCGGTGAGGGATATATCTCTTCTTCACTTACATCTGTACATTTTCTTTCTGAAGTGCAGCTGCTGCTGTCATTGGTTGTGGTGTGAGCCGTTGAAGTAGATGTGAAGAGGGTGAGAAGATTGTACGAGTGTGAAGGCAGGACCCTTTTGAGACTTGAAAAACAACCACGTTTACCAGTGCAGTCCACAAACCGATCAACGACACAAGGCGACCGCCTGCACATTAGGGTAAGTGCTTGGGAACCAGTGCATCCCTAACATTTGGTTACCGCTATATGTGTCCTTGTTTATGAAAGCTCTCACTTTTCTAGCACAATCTCCTCATATTTGGGCGGAGGATCGCTGTAGGGGGCTGTCGTCTCATCGCTGCTGCTCTCTAAGTGGCCGGTGACTTCCTCGTAGGATGGCGGCGGGGTCGCCCCGGACAGATGGGACGCCACGGACAAGGACGAATCTTGTACGTACAGGGAGCGATTGTTCTGCGAATGGCCGGCGTGGTGATGGGAGTCTTGTGCGGTGACTGAAGCCCCGCCTCTTTCGGCGCAGCTGACCACCACGCTGGGCCTGTCATTGGCGTGAGAGTTCTCTGAGTGCGTGGGAGGTTCGCGGTGCACCAGGATGCGCGGGAGGCTGCGGGCGTTCCGGTTGGCCAGATAACGGTTCTGGGTGTAGGCCGGACGCCGGCGCGTGGCTTTCTGCAGTTGACAGCGCCAGAGGAGGAAGAGCGCGATGATGATGAGAAGGGCCACGCCCAGAAGGGGCACCACCATGTACACAGTGTCCGGGCGCTCCGAATCAGCATTGCTGTTCACTGTGTAGAAGCTGCGGTTTTTCCAGAACTCCATCTATGAATGAAGGGATAGCCACTTTTACACATTGTTAAATTGCAGTGGCCTTCTGTGTTTTATACATATATAGCATTCACACACCACCACCAGAATGCCATTAAAACTCAACCGGATGTCATTTGCTTTAACCAAATGTGCCTCAGTAAAGTTTGAAAAAGTAGCAGAGCAAAATTTCAATTTGTCAGCATTTTTCCTATAAAAACAACCATAGTAACATAGTAGACTGTTTCTTCAGGATGACACATTTTTACATTCCAGGGTCTAAAACTAACAGATTTACATGTTTTGTTTTGTTATATTGTTTTACCCTTGTCACAGACTGAGACTTTTGATTGTAAACTATAAAAATGTGTTTAAAAAAAAAAGAAAGAAAAAAGAATTTATCTAATCAAAGATTTCTTATTCATTGTTTTTTTTTTATTACAGCGGTCCCACAGTTGTGGCATCTTTTCCACCATTTTTTTTTATAATTATTATTATTCTTACGTCCACTTTTTCAGTGGACTTGGTTCCGGTATTTTCCTAAGTATTGGGATTTAAAAAATAAAAAAACGCTTTGTTTAAGAGTTATAAGACAAAAACAAAACTAACCAGCTCTGAGGTGAATCACAACAGTATAACCTTTGATTTGAAGCAAAGACGTACAAGACTGTGGACTTAACGACTTTAATATATATATATTTGTGCTGTCAAATCAATTAATTGTGATTTTTCACATCTAACACAAAAGTTTGTTTACATAATATATATGTGTGTGTATATATATATATATATATACATATTTATTATAAATATGTCTGTGTACAGTGTATAAATATACTGTATATCCACACACACACATACTTGTTTAACAAGGAGACAACAGACTCAATGAAGACGCGAAGAAAACAAAGACCATATATTACGGAAAATATTTCTAATTCATCATTTCCAATCAAACTGTAATTTTTGTGAAATTTTGAAAAAAGTAAAACATTACTTACTTTTGTATATTTAGCATGTATTGTGAAAAGCACTACACAAATAACTGTGAATAAAATGCTAGCTATGAAATTAGTCCTAACTAGACCAAAGATTTGGCCATTTTATTCCAAAAATTTATAAAATATCATTTACACTTACTTTCCATCACAGAATGCCATTACAAACAAAGTCATTTATTAAGATGAAAGAAGTGATGGAAATGGTACTAAGGGTACGTTTACAGTAAAGTAAAGTTATTTCTTTGTACAGAAGACAACGTTATCAAAATGATCCCTGTTCACACGGATCTGCGAAAACGACTAATAACGCCGCATTATGCATGCCAGACAAGTAGTTGGCGATGTCACTTTGTATAAAGACTACGCGCCTGCGCACATACGCATTCTTAAACTATAGTGCATTTGAGCCGAACGCACGTGCCTATAGAAACAAATTACATATCATTTATCATTTTTTGTGCGATTGTAATTCTAAGGATGTTAATCTTGATAATACTGTATTTTTTGTTGCATTAAATTGCATCTTCACAAAGCCAGAAACATTCACTGTAATCCCAATTTTAGAATGTTCTCCTCTGATATAAAGTCCCATTTTACTTCCTTTAAGAAAAATGTCAAAACCTTTGAACACAAAGGCTTCGAAAACATATATCCTCATCAGTCTGATGTATGGAACCTTTAATTTGTCATGATGACAAAATGTTGTGTTGATTTGTGTAATTCTTTTGACCACTTGTGATGATGTCCATATGATGATGCCCCCCCCCCTTTTTTTTTTCTTCCCGTTAATATCTGTATCCTTTCATTTGCAAAAGCATGTAATAGCCTACGCATTGCATGACATCACCGTTTTTGCAGATTTGCGTTTTCGTAGTTTACACGGAGATGATAAGGGTGTCGTTTTCAAAAACTTGCACTTTGAAACCTGTTTTCAAAAGTTTGCGTTTTTTTAGGCCACCAAAACGCCGTTGTCGTGTAAATGAACAGTCGAAACGCATAAAGTCTTCCGTTTTTAGTTAAAAACGGTGTCATGTATACGGCCCCTTAGATAGAAATGTTCATGACTTTCTAAAAAAAAAGAAAAAAAAAGAGGCAAAAGTGTGTTTTAAGTTTCAGTTATGTGTAAGTGAGTTCACTTTTTTTTTTTTACACCCACAGGGCCAAAAGTGCCAATAGTAATACCTAATAAAACACCCACTTATAATAGATCTGTATGTCATGTTGGCCTCAAGTAAACAACGTGACATAATTGCATCGACTCCTAAGAACTTTGCGACAGGCTCAAATTCTACGCCAGATTTCTTATGATAAATCATCCAAACATTGCAAGTCCTTGTTCACACATAACCATAATAAAGCATTATCTCAGCCAGCAAATTGCCAGAACTGATTTGCTGGCATTTCGACAACAGGCCTCTGAAAGGAACAATCTGTATGTGTGAAAGCACCTAATATCAGAACAATGGTACAATAGACTTGCAATATTGTTAACTTGCATGGCAAAAATAAAATAAATAACACCAAAAAAAACACAGGAAATTGAATTGTACAAAGCTTTTGCTAGTAAAGACAGTATTTACCGTTTGCTCCTTATTTTCAAACACTTCATTGGCCTCCTCAAAGCTGCAGCTCTCTTCAGCACATTCCCTCTCAATGTTGCCCGGCCGGAGCTCCTCCAGGAAACCATTATCCCGAGGAAAACGTTTGAGGAGAGAGTTTGCATCCTTGCCATCTAGAAACGCTGAGAGATTAAAAGACATCTGTATGTTTTAGCTACTGGGAGCAAAGGTGTTTCTCTGTTTGTTCTGTTGTGCATGTAGTTTACATAAGTTTATGCCGTTCCCATAAAATGTGTTATTACTTATAGAAAACAAAATTTATTTTTTGTCATTATTCTGAGAATGATTTTCTATCCATTAATCATTCCATTCATTTTCCATCAATCAAACAGTCCTACATAACAACACCAGAGAGAAGTCTAGCATTTTTACCAGTAGATTCAGTTATGACAATATGATTAAACATTATGTGTCACTGTGTGGTGTGGGTAGAAGAAGACTCAAAGTCAAAAGGCTCCAATTCAAACGATTTACTATATATTACTCACAGGTACGTACAGACAGACAGACGCTCTAAACACAACTAACAACCGACAAGGACTGACTGAACTGAAGGGGACTATATACAGACACTGATGAACATAATGAGGTGAGGACAGGTGACACGGATGATGAAGACGATGAACAGGTGTGTAATAAAGGGAAGTGAGTTCAGGTGTGAAGACACGAGGGATTCTGGGAAGTGTAGTAAAGACGAAGACAGGATGGCGCAGACGATGACTGTGACATTATGAGGTCACAAAATGTTTTTTTTTTATTTTGTATTAAACATATGCACAGATAAATTGTTCACAATACAACATGATCAACATGCATCTAGAAAACAGAATTTTCAGTAACACTTTAGTTTACGGTCCAATTCTCACTATTAACTAGTTGCTTATTAGCATGCATATTACTAGGATATTGGGTGTTTATTAATACTTATAAAGCACATATCAATGCCTTTTTCTGCATGATGTTATATTCGACATCCGTTAATCCTTCCCAATACCTAAACTTAACAACTACCTTACTAACTATTAATAAGCAGTAATTAGGAGTTTATTGAGGCAAAAGTCATAGTCAATAGTTAGTTAATAGTGAGAATTGGACTCTAAACTAAAGTGTGACTGAATTTTCATTTTATGGCGACTTCTATTACCTAAATTAATATGCATTCATTTGTAATATGGGTAATTTCAAAGCTGAAAAAGTACAGCAGGGCTTCAGAAGAGCAACAGGAACCCAAAGCGCTTTGACACACCATTTATTACATCAAGGTTTTGTGTCATTTAACAAGGCGTCAAATACTGAACATGTTCAGTTCTTGAAGCCTAGGAAAGTTCCTGGGAAAGCACATTTTTTTTGATCGTGGAACAACAATCCTGTTCAAAAATGTAGTCCTAACCATATCCCTACCCATAAATTATGGGAATAACACTGATGTAGAATCACCTAACCCTGGTTGTAAACCTAAACTTGACATAAACTGTAAACTTGTGCCTCAAATCTGATTGGTTGATTGGAATGTTGTTCCAGGATCAACATGTTTGAACATGATGCACTTGGTGAAATCAGGTTTTTGCTCAAGGGCTACTGGGCTATTTTTAGATCAGACCAATTTGAATGGACCTTATCAGTGTTTCAAGATGAAGTTGTTGAAATCTAGTCCTTACCTGCTGCCATACTACCACAAGAGAACTCAATCTGAAGTATTTTGACCTGGGCAGAAGAAAAGATGCAGTTGAAGCGTTGAAAAAAAAGTTATCTTACGTGCATACCTGTTGTTATTCATCATAATTACGGCATTGGCTTTGCTCACAATATTCTAAAATATCACATAAACAGAAGACTGCTTTCTGATATCTCACTATATAATCTACTATAAGCTCTTGCATGTCTAAAGATATGCTGATGGGGGAGGGAGAAGGGGGCGGGGGAGGAGGTTCCCATAGTAACGGAGCGGATAGATAGAGAGATGCACGAGCTAAATTTATATCACTCGTGCTCGAGCTCACTCCTTAACGAATTCATTTAATTCGAGAGTTACTATCGCTTTGTCACATACGAAAAATATCAGCACAACGTAATGTCACCTTCAACATTGTCTTGAAACCGCGTCAAATAAAAAACATAATAACAAGACTAAGAAAAATGCAAAGCATAGCCTAATTAAAATGCTAGATGCAAAATAGATTTTATTCTATTTAAAAGTGCAAAGGTATTTATGAAAATATTGACAAAACAATTCGCTGTAATAACATTACTAAAGCCATTCTTAAAAGCAAATAGCTTTCTTAAAAGCAAATAAAATATTAATAAGAGGCACATAATCAGTTTGACTGTCCTTAGATGGGATCTCTGTGTGATTAAAGAGGTTTATTTATAGCGATATGTTTAGTTGCCATGGAACGAAAGAAAATAACGTGTACATTTGTAACTCGGGAGGGGGAGACGCAAAATAATAATAAAGCCTACCTTCCAGGCTGTAGCAATTGCTAGTCCATTCCATCCCTGTTTCCAACAAGGGAGCAGAACACACATGAGTCATGGATGCCCTCTGATTGACATGCGGATGGGCCAATAGGAGTCACGGATTCCCCCTGATTGTCCAATGAAATTCCGCTGTTGATTTCGTACACGCAAAGTCATACTTCTAAACTAGGTAGTGTAGTCTGTGCGCACGTATACAGTCCTCCGAAATAGTTTCAAGAAACCGTTGCGTATTTGTGCCCAGACATTAATGTTTTATTCTCATAGTCATGAACGCCGAGGGCAAACAAGTGATCTTTTAATTAGAGAAAGAGCATGATATCGGGATAGTCAAGACTCAGGGGTCCCCGTTTGTTGCCACGCCTTGTATTAAAAGACAGCATTACCCATAATGCCGAACCGCTCTGCTTTAAACTCTAGCCGCTTGTGATCTGATGGAGCCATAGACGGATGGAGCCGTGTATGGCAGGCTGACTTGGCATATAAAACTATGGACTCTCCATAAATATATTTTAGATAGTTAAAAATTTTTTTTTTTTTTTTTATTATAGCTAGAGATCCTGCTGTTTTTTTAGTGATGAGCGCCAGTCCATTTTTTTTTATTATGGCAAATTTCAGAAGACATGAGACGTGTACATAAAAAATGTAATCCACAGACACAATTTAATCCACAGCATGCAACATTATCCTACTTTATGATATAGCAGAACAAAAACCTTCCTGAGTCCTCTCTGCATTCCTTTTGTCACTTTTACACGTGCCCCAGCTACATTTATAGTTTCATTTGAATTACTTCTTTATAAAGCAGTTTTCAGATGAAGTAATTTGGCAGTAAGAATGTTAATTCCAGATATCTACACTGAAATTCTTCCAAGTCACAAGCTAAATGCAGATATCTCAGAAAATGCCAAAAAGCAGATAAGTCAAAAATCAAGAGATATCCATAATTAAATTGTAGATTTCTTTAAATGAGTTTAAAGAATTCCACTTCACGGTATTATTAAGTTTTGCCTATATAGTCAAAAATACAATTCAAGGTATCTAATTGTAATTTGACTAGTAATACGTTACTTTGAGATATCTAAAAATGTATTATGATATCTTTAATGATAAAGAATTAAAGTTTTCTTAAATTTGAATTATGACTAACACAGAGATATCTCGAGTTATAATTTCTTTAGTGGTAATTCAATATCTCTAATTTAAATATCACTAGTAAAATTGTAATTTGAGATATCTCTCATTAGAATTATGCCTAGTACAAAATCAATTATAGATATCTTTAATTACAATTTCAACTAGTCAAATCTCATTTGTAGATATCAGAAAATATTTTTCAATGGAAGCATGACTAGTCAAAATAACATTGTAGATATCTTCAAGCCATATTATAACTAGTCAAAATTGCAGAATAGATATATGGAATTGGAATTTGGACTAGTCAAAACTAAATTATGACTAGTAAAGCCAGGGGTATTTAATGCTAAAACGACTTGCCATACTAGTACAAATTCAATTATATATTTAAATTACAATTTCTACTAGTCAAAACTTATTAGTAGATATCAGAAAATATTTTCCAATGGAAGTCAATGGAATAATATGACCAGTCAAAATAGCATAGATATCTCGAATGTACGTATATTATGACTATTCAAAATAACATTGTGGATATCTTCAAAGATATCTTAATTCCAATTACGACGAGTCAAAATTGCAGAATAGATACCTGGAATTGGAATTTTGACAAGTCAAAACTAAATTACGACTAGTAGAACCAGGGTTATTAAATGCTGAAACAGCTTGCCACTGCAGATTTGTGTAATATCAGTATGTCACAAGGCTGCAAAACGACCTTTAAACTCACCTTTACATGTAACAACCAATTTGGGCTGACCATCCTAAATGTCCACCAAACTTTTGAAGTTTTCAGTACACGTCAGTCAGTTCAGCAGAACACTTTAGCCATATTTCAAAGACATATAATAAACTAATACGTTTTCATTTAATTGTAAATAACATGCAAATAAGTGTCAGAAAGCATTACATTCAGTTTGCACCTAAGTTTATTCCTTCAAAGTAAATTACTTCTGTAATTAATACTCATTTTAAAATATTCGAAGGGTTTGCGTGCTTTTATCATGTCATTCTATAACACTTTTTAATGAATTATTATTATTCAATAAGCACTTTTGGGCAGGTCTTAAAAAAAGATTTGTCAGGGGAAATGAAAGCTAGAAAACTGATGTTTAATTTATAGTGAACAAACAAATTGTCTGCAAACCGTGACTTTTTTCCGTTGTCAAAATATTCTTGATTGGTTGATACAGCCACTTCAGTGTCCTCCTATAAGAAACTGCTTTTTCTCCTATATCCACTCATAGATAAAGCCAGGTCTCTGTTGACTCTAGGACTTTACAGGAAGAGTCCAATCTTAAACATCAGACATTCTTAGGAGGACATTGTCATTGTGGACAATGCCCTTTATCAAACCTCTTTTGTTTGAAACATGGACAAACAGCAGAGCCCCTTCTAGTCAACAGATAGTGTCAGACAGCATCAAAGGACGCGAGCGAGTTCAAAAAAGACACCTATCTGAAGCAGAGATCCCAAACAGACAAGGTTTACACTCATTTAAATAGATTTTTATTATTATAGTCAAAAGTACAAAAGTAGAAAAATATGCCATAAATACATATATACATTAAAGTACATAAATCATAAGTTAGGGATGGGTAATAGAATACAAATAGAATTTTATATACAAAAGAAGGCAAGAATCCTGAGATCGATCTAAAACAACAATTCCCAATGTGGGAATGCATTTTCTCTGTTCCTAACAGGAAATACATTTCTGCAAGCCTCTGCATTCGTGTAACTAGTGTTTCCTGCATAAAGCAATCAGTAAAATCATTCTGCTTGAGCTTTAGATGCTCATAAGACAGGACCATGTCCATGCACTGAATTATTGATGGCACGACTTCTCTAATAGAGCGCGATGTGGCGTTCTCCAGTGTCTATGTTAAATTTATGAATGTAAAGTCACATTTGCAGAGACGGCGGGTGAGGTTGAACGCTCAGTTGTAACTGGTGAAGTGACTGTTAAGTTTAAGACACTCCTCGTCTTCGCTGTCGTCATCTTCATCACAGCTGTCCTCCTCCTCCTCCTCGCTGTCTGACTCATCGTAGAAGTTAATGGTGGCCTGCACTGGGAAATTTCTGAGCAGGGACTCGCCATCGCTGAAGAGGTAGTCAAAGGATTTCGATCTGGGCCAGTACAGCCTAATGTGTGAAGAAATAAATTGGTAAATGCACTGGAAAAAATATAAAAAATACACTGTTTTATAGCAATTTTCAACTTTTTAAAAATGATTTATACACGATTCAACTCTTTTTTTTAAGCCAGTTTAATGTAATTTAAGTTGAAATGACTTAAACATCCAAGTTGATTACTTAAATATTTAAGGCAGCAATTTTATTTACAGTGAAACTACGCAAATAGAGCAAGGAAATGCATTTTTCAGCATGGTCAAATAAGCCTTATTTGGAACAGATTAGGGTTTTGGGGCTAAAAGAAAATCGTGTTACAAAACAAAACCATTGCTCAAGCAAAAATGAAATGTGCACTGACCTGACAGGGTGCTGGAAAGATTGCATCTTGCCATCTGTTGTAGTGTTACTGGGCACTTCTGGCCTGGAGTAAGGCTGGAAAGAGTGAGAAAAGACGTGTAAGACCGCATGCACAAAAACACAACTCAAACAATGCTTCCTGTCCAGTGTTTATGAGGTGATATCACTGCCAGCTTCGTGGGTGTATAACACCCTGGGCAGGATGCGAAAGCTGTGACATGGAGGGTGTCAGGCTAAAGTGTTTGTGGGAAACTGGTTCCAACTCCCTTTCCCAAACCTAACTAGAGGTGTCTGCTTAAATCTTGGCAAGCGAGTTAGCGCTTGCTCTCTGGGAGCTGTTTTCCCCTACACCTCGTCGCTGGGCACAGACTCAGTGTTCACACTCAGACAGTGGTGCCATATGGCTGAGTGTCTCAGTGCTAGAACTGCTCTCAGTTTGCCTTTGCAATGGCTCTGTGGCAATGAAACAGCTCCACGGTCGCACCTTCTGCTGCCTAATGCTCACCACATGCCTGTCTGTCACCTTAAAGCTACGTGATGCTGCTTTTAAAAAAAAACTGTACAAGTCACCATGCAAAAAACATGTAGCCTGATGTTATCACACATTTTTATCTTTAGTCAAATCAACTTAGATAAATAATGCTGTTCAGATAACATCATATTTTGAGTTTATTTTATTAAACCAATCTCCTTTATTGTATTAACTCAAAGTTTTAATTTCAACGAACTCAAAATTTTAAGGCAACCAAGCAGCTAACTTACTTTTTTAAGTTAAACCAACAATCATTTTTTACAGCGTAATAAATAGCACTGTGGTGGCAGGAGATCATTACGGTACCATGTGTTTAATAACATTCCTAAACAGATGGAAATTCCAATGAAATATTAGGATTGCAGTGGTGGAAAAACTTACACAAGCCAGCTTGGTTTTCCGGCATTCAGTTTGAGCATCTTGTCTGGTCACGAGCCACGGTCTCCACAGGGAAGCTGGGCTGTGGATCGAATATGATAGTAATATTTTAGCTGTGCATTTAACAGTCAACTTTTCAATAAAGAATAGAACAAAACAGAATAGAATAGAACAGAATAGAATAGAATAGAATAGAATAGAATAGAATAGAATAGAATAGAATAGAATAGAATAGAATAGAATAGAATAGAATAGAATAGAATAGAATGCTCACCTGCTGGACTGCTGGATCTTAGTGTTCATAGTATTGCAAAGAGGAGCGGCAAAGCACACGGAATTCATCTTTCTCTTTCTCTCTTTTTCTTGGCGATAGTCCCAAATAGTCCTGTTTTTGGAAGATCTCCGAGCGATGTGCGCTGTGGATGAGTCGAAGTGAATGAATAAAGGAGATTCGCTCTCGGGGTTTATATGGAGCTGGTGATGCAGGGGCGGGGCTGGGCGATGGTGCCGATGATGCCAAATGATCGGAGGTTGTTTTGAGAGGGGGTTTGGTGCTGTTTGCCAAATGATTGGGATAGAGACTGCTATGGACATTTTGGTGTGAAGACTTCTCCAGTTGTATAAACAGTGCGCCCCAGCGTGAGGGTGAGAAATCTGGTACCGTGAGGTTATTGCAACAACACGGAGGGGCAAACTTGCACACTATCTGCGAGAAAGACGACGGGGGGCGACACAGGACTGCGACCATATATAATATAGTTAGTTAGTTAGGTTTCGTGGCTACATTCAATTAATGAGTAGGCCTAGGCTATATGCGCAGTCGTGATCAAAATATCAATTTGTGTCCAAATTATCCTTGCTGTAGCCTATTCCCCATGACTATATATGGAAATGCAACATACTGTAATTTCCTATAGGCATGACTTTATATTTTAAAATCTTTAAAAAAAAAAATTGTTGACATAAAATTGTATTAAAAATATTTTGTTTGGGTTAGGCTGTTATTAAAATTATGCAGGCCTATATAATTCTATCAATAAAAACAATACTGGCCCCAAGTTATTGAACTCCTAGCCTACTTTATTTTGTTAGGTAACCCTGTTACCATTTTGATTTTGTAGGCCTATAGCAACCGTTTGATTACTAAAAACTAAACGTTAGAAATAATATTAAGCGTTAAATTGGCTAAGGCCTACCCTGTAGCTAGTGTTGAAATATAGGCTAACCCTGTTGTTTTTTTAAATGCATAGGTAGGCCTATCGTAATTATAGGCCTAGCAATTTATTTTAATTTAGCTACAACGCAATTTATTAACACTCAAATTCATTTTTTAAATTATAGAAATATAATATTATAAATAAAGAAAAAAACTTTATTTTAAAATGAACCTTTAAGTAGCCAAGGCTACATTTTGATTTTCTAATGACTCGCCTCTGCTGTCTGTTGATTCTTTAATTACTGCCTTCGACAGCTGATCTGAAAACAGCTCTTAACTTAAACACTTGCAGGAGGCATCAAAAGCTGAAGAACTGAAGCCGGTCCGCGGTCAGTCCGAGCGCGTCTCGCGCTGTTTGTCTAAAAGCACGCGTTCACACTTCAGCCCGTTAAGAAGGGTGCAAAATATCTCACTAAAGCCAATTTAATGAGGTCCTAATAGGGGCTTGATGGACTTCGTCGCTCCATTTGGAGGAGCAAATTTGCGTCTGCGTCACTCCGACCTCCTATAGAGCCAGCAAACTGACCCGCGTCAGGCAAAAGGCACAAATGGAGATAGCGACGACGAGCTATTGCTTAAACATACAGTTGAGATTACAGATAATGCGATTCAATCAATTAACGGTTGTGTTTTCGTTCACTTTGCTAATCTAATTAGTAAAAGAGGTGAAGGGCAAACGCCGTCTTGCAAATAGCCTAGATGATAAAAAGTTAATTCCTGCAAACTAGTCATAGGCTAGGCCTATATACTGTAATAGGCTATTTTGTCAAATGACTGCGTGTAATGGCTACATTAGATCACACAAATGAAATAGTGATAGATAGATAGATAGATAGATAGATAGATAGATAGATAGATAGATAGATAGATAGATAGATAGATAGATAGATAGATAGATAGATATTGATGGACGATGGGTGGGTGGATGGATGGATGGATGGATAGATAGATAGATAGATAGATAGATAGATAGATAGATAGATAGATAGATAGATATAGCCTACATGGATGGATATGGATAGATAGATAGATAGATAGATAGATAGATAGATAGATAGATAGATAGATAGATAGATAGATAGATAGATATTGATGGACGATGGGTGGGTGGATGGATGGATGGATGGATAGATAGATAGATAGATAGATAGATAGATAGATAGATAGATAGATAGATATAGCCTACATGGATGGATATGGATAGATAGATAGATAGATAGATAGATAGATAGATAGATAGATAGATAGATAGATAGATAGATAGATAGATAGATACATGGATGGATATGGACGATTGGTGGGTGGATGGATGGATGGATAGATAAGCACAGAGCAGCAGACAGTGAGGGTGGCAGTTGTTTATTCTGTTCATTTGGGAGTGTTCTGGCGTATGGGGGTCTGTCTAGTCCCAGTCTGTTTTAACATTTGCTGATCTCAGAGCCTTGGAAACCCCCTGCCACTAACGGCTCTTAAAAATCTTCTCCCCCATGGTCAGGAATGTCAGTAATCACCAGCCTGCTGCTCCCCAAGCCTGACACTGTGTTTTCTTTAAAGCAAGTCAACACAAATCTTTAATTTAAAATAACAAGAAATGGATTAGTTAGAGCATGCATGCATATATATGAAGATGTGATCTGTTCTTCTAATTAATTGATGTACTGTTGAGTCCAAAAAATTTTTTTTTTTTTTTTTTTATGAAAGATTTGAAATAATATGTGACTGACACTATAGTGCCAGTTTAAACTGTTTATTGGAAACCTAATGTCTCGCTAACATTGATTGATTGGTCTGATTAAGTTATGTTTTCAAAATATTTTAATAATGCTGTGGCCGGCCCATAACCTTTCCCTCAAGCCAAGATTGACTTAATCATTTAGATCATTGTGGTAAATTCCAAAATACACGAAATGGATTATTTCAGAGGCTTATTTAAATGTTTCTCACATCTCAGATTTACTTTTTAAAACACACTACTGCTGTTAGAAATTGATGAAATAATGCTGAGCAAAAAAAAGTGGAAAACTTATGAATGTGTAGCCACATGCATTTAAATCGATCTTTAAAGTGTGTATTCTAACATTGTGAAAGTGAAAAGGGCATAAACAGATTAATTACTTTTTATGTACAAAATTACATAAATTCTACAATGCCTCCTTTTAAATATTCACTTATAATGATAAAAAAGTGATATAATGATGTTAACAACATTGTAAAGTTCAACCAAACAACAATTTGGGTTGATAGCTTTTCTTAAAGCTACAAGAGACCCTCATTGACCCTCTAAGGAACAATGTTTTTCAAACGCCTCTCTCATTGTAAACCAGTCAAGAGGCAATACTAGCATTATTATTACAAAAGATTCTTTAGTTACACTGTCAATTAAAACCTTTTTATTGTATGCAACTATAAACATTTCAGATCAGTTTAGTTCCCTTTAAGTTAAATGGCCTATGCCTCTTGAACTGTAAAGTTGTTTCCTAGCTGATGCACATCTCCTGTCATCTGACTAGTGAAGTTGAAAAGTGTAGTTTAGAATGTCTCACAAATGTTGCCAACATCCTGGGAATAAGATTTAGGAAAATGGTCTCTTCATTAATGCCTCTTCACACTCTGTATCTGTGACTGAATCCACATACTACTACTCTTAAAAATATGCTTCTATAGTTCCATGAAGAACCTTTAACTTTCCATTACACAAAAGTTTCTTTATAGTGGAAAATTGTTATTTTAAGAACTGTTCACTGAAAGGTTCTTTAGGGAACCAAACTGGGTGTTTTTTTCTATGGCATTTCTGTGAAAATCCCCATTTGGAACTTTTATTTTTAAGAGTTTAATTTATGAGAAAGCTAGTATTTTAAAACAACCTTGTTAAATATTCCATGGTAAGGCTGACCTCGGCCCAGGGTCAGAGTGTCCAGTCATGTTCACTCCAGTGACCCCGTCATTCTCACTTCTAAGCATCACACCTCTTCTCTCACACGCTCTGCGGCTTCGTCCATGTCCCAGGACCAGCATCAGTGTTCCCAGATCAGCACCAACATTGTCACTTCGGAAATCTGAAGCACCCTGATTCACATTCATTCTGATTGAACCCTGAAACTGAATAAAGATCATCAAGTTTTAACACTGTTAAAAAAAGTACAATCAACTTGGATGTTTAAGTCATTTCAACTTAAATTACATTAAACTGACTAAATGTTAAATAAGTGACTAAGTGTTAAATCTTGTATAACTTAAAAAAGGTTGAAAATTGCTTAACTTATTTTGATGAGTTAAAGCAATGTAAAAACATAGGTTGTCATAACTTATTGATACATTTTTTGTACTGTGACGTTTTTTACACGCACAACATGTATGAGTGCATTTGATATTTTTCGAGTCTCTTTTAGAGTCAGCAGTTACTAAAACTAAAAACGATAAGAACTGAATAAATAAATAATAATAAGAAAGCTGTCAAGACTGTATACACACAATGGATGGATAAACACTAAGAAAGTACAATAAAATACACACTAAAGACACAATGAGATACACACTATAAAACACTGTTACTTTCATTTAAGAATATTGCACATTTTGCAGTTAACTGTCCTGAGACTATAAACAATAAGAAAACGGAGATAAAAAGTCTCTGTAACAGAACAGCTTTTAAGCAAAAGGTAACCTTAGCAGAAAGTCTCTATATGTCAGAAATAAAACCTTGTGATCTTACAGAAGTGAGGTAGACATATTTTTTCCTCCTGTTGTGACATTCAAAATCAGAAAGGCTCCTTCTGCTTAAAATGATGAACTGAGTCTATTTAAATTCTTTGTATTTATATAATCACTTTGTTTAAAACATATGAACACTGTCATTCACATATTCAAGGAGAATAGGCCTTTTCCTCACAAAAAGCTTCAGAAGATTTGGGAATATATCACACAAGTCTGGACTATATGGTAGGCCTACTTTGGTGCTTTTGGAATAATCACACTTTAATTGAATGTGAAAAGAAGAAGAAAGAGAGTGATAGGCCTATATGTGTGGACTGACATGATGTGAGTAAATGATGAAAAAAAGTTATTTTATTATGTTATAAATTAACAAATACGCAGAGACTGTGTGTACTGGATGCAGAACCTGGATATTATCATTGCATTGACAGGTATAGCCTTTAAAAAAAATGAAATGTTTACCTGATCATCCATCATACGGCTGACCTCGGCTCAGAGTGTCTAGTGATGTTCATTCAGTGACCCCGTCATTCTCACTTCTACACAAGCATCACACACCTCTGTTCTCATCTGAGGAGGTGTGTGTGGACGACACCAGGCCTAACACCTCCACACTGAGCACACTTCTCTCACCCGGCTGCGTCTCCGTCCATGACTCCCAGGACTAGCATCAGTTTTCCCAGATCAGCACCAACATTCTCACTTCTCAAATCTGAAGCACCCCGATTCACATCCATCATTCATTCACTGCAGTAGCATTCTGATAGAACCCACCGAATGAAGATGAATGTAGTGAAAGATCTCCAACAGGG